AACATTCCTTCACTGTTCTTGGTTTTACAGTTTAAAACCTCCCCTTCTCAACTGCTCAAATCCAGACTATGATTACATTGTCAATTGTTCAACAGACGACCCTGAGCTACTTACAATAGTTTTTTTATTATAAAAAGAAACAGGCCCAGCTGTGTGCTCCCTATAGTAACACTTGTGGTTTGAAATATTTAAAGTCCTATGGATATGTTGTATGTACTAAACTATTGTAATGGGAGAAACAAAAAGGCATTACTTCTCTGCATGATCAAATCAATTGAAATGGGTTATAAAATTATTAATCATATAGTTGCACCTGTGCAAAAACTTTGTTTGATGTTAGATAATTGTTTTACAGAATTATAGATTTGGAAATGCTTGACAGGTTGATTATCATCTTAAAGTAATGGGTGTGATTTTAAAAAAGAAGGGTTAATGTTTTGGGTGTAATCCTTCATCAAAACTGCAATTTTTGTCTTATCACAATTTATTCTAGTTTTGTTGGATTTTCCTCTGAGAAATGGAGAAATATTTTGAGACCTCAGGAGAAATATATTGAATAGAGGGCCTGGTGGGTGATCCATGTTTTTTTCTCTTATAAAAAGTGAAGTGGTAGTTCAGTAGGGAATTTATAAATTTGCACAATTACAGTTGTTTCCTGTTGCAATGGGCAGAATTTTTAATTCATCCTTCGAATGAGATGTGAAAGCCAGTTCCCCTCTGCCTATTCTAGTTAATGTTCAAGACCAGCAGTGGTTCTATTCGAAAAGAAGGGAGATTCTCCTTGTGTCCTGGCCAACAATTTACCAGATAAAATTGATTGTTCACTTTATGGTTGTTTGCGGGACATTCCTGAGTGCAAATTGGGTGCTGCGTTTGTCTACAAAATTGTCACTGCGCGTTACAGTAAATTCTTATTGACCGCTTTGAGCTGTTATGGCAATGTGACAAGGCGCTATAAGAAATCTAAGGATTATTGTGGTTTGTCATCTCATTCAATACAGGACACATTCTTCTAAAAAGGTGACTAACAACAACAAATTACATTTGTATAGTGCCTTTCATGTCAGGAGGATGTCCCAAGGCGCTGAAAGACTTGAGAACTTGACTTATATAAGCATCTCCAGTTATTTAATATTCTGTTATGTAATTTGGACATAGAAATGTGGGAAATGTTTTTTTTTCTTTCTGTGTAGATAATTGAAATTCATTAGTAATAATGCAAAAAGCCGAGTGAATATCTAAAGATCAAACTAATGTGAATGCATACACAGAACAAAATAATGCAATTTCCAAACTCAATTTAAGTGAACAAAAATGTTTTGTCACATATTGTGCAAACTCATTTAACCTTCTCTATAACACTGAGGTGGATTACAATGGAAAACATTTCTTATAGGTATTGCACCAGCCAAAAAGTACCAGAAGGAACATTTTTGTCAGCTGTTGTCCCCTCACATAGCGCCCCCTGAACAGTCGGAGGAGAACTTTGCTAACAGCTGAGCATTCGTGCTGTGACTTTGGATGCAACAGAATCTTTCTCCAGCCGTACCATGTCCTGTGGGCTCGAGTTTCTGTTGCGCTTCATCCGCTATCATTATGCTGTTCACCATGTACTTCGTCACAGTTGCCAAGTTGGCCTGTGAATGTAGTTGGTTTTGGTAGTTATGATTTTTTTGTAATGTAAGGCCATGGCAGGAAATACGAATCAATCTTACCTTTTAACTCCTCTTCTCACCCTCTCCCAGAAAAACAGGAATTTGCTGATCCTTATGCTAACAGATGAAGAGCCTATTTCGCTCCTTGCCCTTCACCCTCTTCCCCCCCACCCCACCACCACCACCTCTAATAGCTGGCAGAAAAATACACAGGTGCTATCACCAGATGTTAAGGTATTGGCATGAATGCACATAGATTTATTTTCCCTATCCTATGCCATCCACACAACTATTCTCAATGCCATCCAGCTAGCTATTTCAAAAGAGCACAGCTAACCCAAACAAATAGGTGTATGATACCTATTTTCATAGTTTTTATATTAACCTGAAATGACCCAAATTAGTTTGGTTTGTAGATTTTGTTAGTGATGAATTTCTAGTATCAAGTGCTGAATTTAAATACTGCAATGCTGGCGCACATCCTTGACTCTTCAGTGCTTTAGGACGTTCTCTGGACATGAAGGATGTTAAATAAATGTAATTTGTTGTCGCAATTTATCCACAATTAGTTATTGGGCTGTATAATGCTGTATAACAATTTGATCTCTTGGAAGACCTTGATCCAGGGAGACTTGGCACATCCTTTCTGTAACCAACTTCTTATCTTCTGAAGCAGCAAAGACTGCTTGGGAACTGCCAGGCAGAGGTATTTGGTCAGTCTTGCTGTCTCAAACCTGTACCTCAAACTGCAAGGACCTACTTTGATGTTAGCTAGGAGAGGATTCTGGAAAATAACATTTTCTAGGTTTTCAGATGGATCCAATGAATGCTTGGAATACGATGGATTTATTTGGACTGTCTCATGTGATCCAAAGTTCCTGTGAATTTAGTATCTGAGAGGGTTAATGAATTACATAGCTTGGTTTGTTGATACTCCGTGCCTCACATGACATTAAGATAGGACATCCCAGCATCTTAGCCAAAGCTCCTTCCAGGGTGCTGCTAGAAGTTTTCATGACAAGAAATTATGAATTCCCTCTCTGTTTCTCTGTACAACCACAGCTTATTTTCCAATAAATCATAAAAGAACATGGGTCCCAGTGCTCACCATGCTGAAGTTGATTGTTCTTTATCAAAGACGCAGTTACATTTAGATTCCATCTGAGCAAAGAGGTGGCTAGATCATGGAGAAATATCCGAACAGAAGATGGGGATACAATCCTTCAGGGAAATAAACCCTATTGTGGTAGCTACAGAGTAGCAAAGTAAGTGAGAAAAAGAGACTTTTGTTCCATTTGTGTGGGCTGGATTCAAGCCCAATTTTCAGAGATGAAAAGACAGTATGCTAACATTAACCCAGACCCTCACTGCTTTTGAAGAATAAGCCAACTTCAGGTAGATTGTCTAAATTTCGTGTAAATGATTTGCAGTGGAGAAAAGCTCTAAGTTGAAGGTTTTCAGTAATCCGTTTGGTGGTTTTATTTTAGTTAAACTTATTGTAATCAGTCTGCAGTGCCCTGAGCTAGCTGGTTCTGTGAAATGTGTTCCATTTACTGCTCAATTTAACAGTTAAGCACAGTTAAGCAACTGTTTAGAAGTCAAGAATCACAATTTCATTTTCTGCTCATAGGACCTTTCTCAATCTCTGGGGAAGGTTTGCACATTCCAGACAGCTAGAAATTAAGAGCTCAGCTCATCTGCAGCCAGAAAAAGAATCGAGGGTGTTTTTTGAAGGAGACACCCTTTATTGTGCTGTTGCTTTGTTACTGTCTCTGGAGGCATAGAGGGAAAAAACACCACTCAAGATGGTAATGTACTCTGCATCTCCAGAGGCAGCATTGCTTGTTTAATTTGCAATGCGGTCGCCAAAGGTGCAGTTGGTATCTGTGACCTTCTAAATGCTTTATGATAAAAAGAGATGTAGATTGATGCAGATTTATTTGACATTGCAAGGAAAATGTATTACATTGAGAATAATAATAATGCTTGCATTTGATATAGAGTCTTATCAAGTCATCGAGCCATCTTAAAGTGCTTCACAGAATATACTGTAAAGTGAATTGACAATATATTTTGTGGGCACAATGCTAAAACAAAATAAATAGAAGCTAAAATAAAGTGAGAATAGAGATGAAACGAATGCAGACCCTTCAGCCTTTAACGGTTTAGCTTAAAGGTTTGAACTGCTCACATCCTGCACACTACATGGTATTATGGGCAGGTCACTTACAACTTGGAGATAAAGGTCATTGACAAGTTTGCTGATGCATAAGTATTTTACTTGTAATCCCAGTTTGACCACTAAATGATTGCAGTGATCGAATGTGTTGAATGTGTTCGAAGATCTGTAAATAATGTTGTAATTTGCTTTATTATAATTGCATCAGAATACTCTGTTGACTTTGGTTGTTGTAAAATTGTGACCCCCCCCTCCGCTCAAAAAATTCAAAATACTCAAAATATCTCCAGTGTGTACAGCAATGAAATTTAGTATAAGAATTTCATTTTGGTTTAGCATCTCATACATATTTGAATGGATTTTATTGAAAGTCAGATTCAGTTTATGTTAAACTCGAATTACTAGAAAACCTAATTCGATTTTAATTAACTCTTGTGGAACATTTTTCATCCATTAATTTGAAACAAACTTTAAGATAACTGGTTATGTAGTATTAGTGCAGAATTGCAGCATTGAAGTTATATAAAAGCATTCCTATAAAACTTTTTTTCCACTAATGTGTCAAGGCAAAGTACTTCTTTTCCAGGGAAAAACAAAAATAGGGGTTCATTGTAAAATTGTGGTGAATCTGTTGCGTCCCTTATTTCCCAAATTGACTCTGATTTGCCTAAAGCTAGTTTCAACATTGTCAAACTACCACATGCAAATTTACTAGCTACATTAAATTATGCAAGCTTGCATAATTAAATAAGTGTACATTATTGATTTCCTTTGATTTGCCTGCAACTCGGACTTAGCATAAATCATATTAACTGTTATGACAGCGACTGCTACGACTTTTGTAAATTTTACTGTGTTTGTCCTGCTTCCATACTTTTGGAGGTGCTTGCCAATGCCTGCTATTGTGTGATTTTAGCTTTCAATAAAGGTTCCCTTTAACCCTTTGATATATTCTTTATCACGTCTTTGAGATGTCTCAAATTGCTTCACAGAATATACTGAAAAGTGAATTGACTGTATATTTTGTGGGTGAAGCTTTTGAAATTATTCTCAAAGAGAAGGACACTTCTTCCTTTGCGTCGTGCAAATATTTAAAAGTTGAAATCAATTTTAATTGTTTAAATGAGCTGTTTACAGTTATTAATGAGATTCTGATTTCTTTGCAGTTGTCTATGTCCAGGAGGCCTCATTCATGCAGATGCAACAAGAGTTAGAACAGTGTGAACCCAGATAGTCAGGCGGCACAGCAGGATGCCGTCGACCAACCGAGCAGGAAGCCTAAAGGACCCAGAAATAGCAGAACTCTTTTACAGAGAAGATCCTGAAAAGCTCTTTGTAGATTTAAGAGAAATTGGCCATGGCAGCTTTGGAGCAGTTTACTTTGTAAGTATATTTTTAAAAAAAAATATTTGCTCAGGTTTTCTGCCCTTTAATCTAGATCTTTACAGTAGATACAGGGTAATAGTTGGTGTCCATGGAGTTCTCACCCATAATCAAGATGTCGCTGCGCATGCGGACAGAAAGCTGATGAACTCTCTTGGTGTGTCGCGCGCTTGAAATCCCGCTGCCATTGCTCGATGGAACATTTTGAAACGCAACAAAATTTCAAGTTCAATTTGAACTTTGGATGAAAAATATCAGGTTCATAAGTCAATTATGTTGTAGTGAAGCACGTTACAATGGGATTTTACTGTATTTGAGAAATTGCCAGAAGTGATATCATAGTATAGCATGGCTAAGTATTCAGCTTGTTATACGATGGTGTTAATAATGGTAGCTTTGCTGTAATTAATTTTTCAAAATTTCTATTGGAATTTTTTTTCAACAATTTAATGTTTTTATACCCCATTCCACTCATGTCTCTATATTGTTTACTAGAAATGGGAGTAAGAAGTAATTATCTTAAATTAGTTGTATAAGTCTTGATTTTTTTCCCCCTGCTTTGCAGTTTTCTAAGCCATTTTATATTCTGATATGACTGTTTTTTTTTTTAAAAAGATAAAACTTTTAATGCTAAGTTTTAATGTTTGGAAATTGCAGCACTGTATACAAATTTAACATCATGGTTTAATGGTGTGGGCTATGCATTTCTGTGGTTTGTAAGGTGCACGCTTCCATCCAGTCATGTCTGTATATTCAATTGGCAAAACAGTGCATCCATTCACTCCATTCATAAAAGATTCTTGATGTGATTTGAATAAAGCTGGGAAAAGAGACATACAGCTTAATTCAACACTGGATCTGTCCTTTAAACTGCAATTGAGCTCTACAATCCAGACAGAAGCTTTAACTAACCTGTTGAGATATATAATATATATTACATATATTATATATATGTGTGTGTATATAAAATTTACAAGACTCAAAAAGTACTATAATTCTAATAGTTAAATATTAGGAACTGTTTCTATTTGAATGAGTTTTCACCATTAAGGCACTTGGCTGCATGCATATGTTGTGCAAAATGTCTGAAAGGCTCATACATGCAGAGTTGGCTCAGAATTGAATGGCATTCTTCTTAGATTTAACTCCAATGATCATTTTATTTGCCTGTTAGGAATTATAGGAAAATTACCAGATAAAGAGAACGATAAGCCTGTAGTGACACTATTTACTCTCATTCTTAATGGAAGGCGGTCCTGGCTATTTAATTAACCTAAACATGTGAATGCGAATGTCATAATGCTAGCATGAAATTCATATTGTATTATTAAATGGCAGGTAGATGTTAGTTACCTGACCCATGTTCCAATTCAATTGTCATTTTCTTTCACCTGTACAAAGCTATGTAATAAAGCAATGGTTTGTTCTCTCTTCCCCTCCCTCCCCCAACAGGAGGCACTGTACAGTCAAAGGGGAGTAAAATAACCTTTTCCAAACCTTCCAAGAAGAAGGAATAAACAATTGACAAGTATTAAGGTTTAGTGGAAGAAGTAGTGCAGTGCTGGGAGTAGTTGAGGGTTGGTTCTTTCAAATGGTATCCATCAAATGTAGAAGGGCATGTTACCTTTTGTAGTTTCAAAGGTCAGACCATGTTGGTTCACAGTGAGAAAAACGTATTCTTTCTGTAAATATTTACTTGAAGACTAACGTTTATATAATTTGACTGACAGGCACGAGATGTCCGCACGAATGAAGTTGTGGCTATCAAGAAGATGTCCTATAGTGGCAAACAGTCCAATGAGGTGAGTGTTTCATGCATCTAAATCATTTGTTAAATCTAATATCTTCTTGAACTTTGCCATTTAACTGAGAAGTAATATTGCATTCATGAAGCAGGACTTAGTTAACTAATACATACTTTGTTTCAACAGCTTTCAAGGGTCATTGCTCTTTACACACTGCCATGTTTAGAAAATCTGAACTGATCTAATCATTGATAAAGCTATTGGAAGATAAGTTGTATTTTGTATAGCTGCCTGCAACTTGATTCCATTTCTGAGTGATTTTTTTAAGAACTGTTGCACTCCAATGAAGTTTGCATTTTGGAACTGAAACTAGTTACGGAAGGTCTGTGGTTACACAAGCATCGTCTAAAATTCAGTGAATTGCACACAATCACAGATGTCCGAGCAGTTGAATAGAGGTACAGAAGTCCAGAATTATGATGCTTGATTCAGTTCCTACTTTGCAGTTTTAAATAACTCAATCCAGTATTTGTTGCTAAGTAAATGCTATACATTTTATTAAAAAGTGGTTATAACCTAGGGGAGGTCACTATATCTAGGTGTTGTATATTTATAGAGGTGTAATGTTAGTTAGCTACAAGTTGGTATAGTTAGACTGATAATTGCCCTCATCATTAATTGCAGAATGTTTCTGTGACTTAATAATGCAGATTCTTACAGCTGGGGACTGCCCATGATATTGCTTTCTAAAGTGCCGAGTTGCTCCAGGGCTTTTGGTTTCTGCAGCTGTTTGATATGCTCCTCACTCTGGGAGTGGCCCAGTTGTGACTTCCTATCTTGTTTTCTTTTCAACTCCCTTCCTGTGAGGCAACATTTGACCTCCCCACCACATCAGTACGGCTGAAATTGTAGATCATCTTATGGGGGAAATGCAGGTGCTAAGTAGAACTCAATAGTACCTTACAAGTGATACATGGATGCTTGTCAATCATGGGTGCATGATTTTGGCACAGTTTACAGTCAGCTGATTGAGGGCAGGGGAAGAGCTGAATGCAGCCTTTGTGTAAGTCACAGGCTTGTATTTGATAGAGAAGCTTGATTTTTTTTGTATAAAAAAAATCTTAAACTGTATGATTCAAGTGTGTTGCTTTGCTTTGTATAGACATTATTTGAAAGAAATCTCTTTAAAATGTACTTGTCTGTGTGATGTGTACCAACAGTTGCTCGGCTTACCTCTGAAATGGATTTACTGTAACTTAAATTGTTGAGTTACATTTCCTCTATAATCTTTATTTCAGAAAGAAGTATTAATAATATGCTGGTATTGATAAAATATTAAAGAACCCTCTGGTTTATAATTATGTCGACTAATATTATATTGATCAAAAATGTAAACTCTGTATTTGATCTAAATTTTTTTTAAAAAGTTGATTGGTGAAAGATAATCACTATTCCCTTTAATGTGGATTAACAGCTACAGGATGCTGTTATCATGACCTATTTATAACAAAACGGAAACAATACAACAGTGCTTGTTAAATTATATATATTTTGAGGAACTTTTATCCCTTGATATAGTGATGCAGTGACTCATAGATGCATACTGTGTAGGCTGCTGGAAGCACTGTAAAGCCGATCTCCACACACAGCGGTTTTATCAGTAGCAAGACAGCAAATTGGAATTTATTCTATTCTTGAGAGGAACCACATTAAAATGTAAGCACCACAAACTTGCATGATCAACTTCATGTAAAATGGCTGTTTTAAACGGAAGAGTCGTGTGAGATTAAAATTCACAAAACGATAATATCAATTATATTTTATTTAGCCTGAACTACTCTAAAGGCCAAAGCGGGTCTTAAGTCCAGAATTTTGTCTGTTATATTAGAAATCAAAGCAAAGAATTAGCTCAGCCATTGGTTCTGGTAACTGATGACAAAGCTAACTTGATGTTCCAACTCCCTGGGTTGAACTCTATATTTTCAGCACTGGTATGCAACCTTAGCAGTAACCATTAGTAACAGAACAACCTCTTCGATTCCAATCCTTACCAAACTGCCAATTTTTAAATCTATATTTAGAGTGCTGATGGCTTTAAGTTAGAGAAATATAGATGGGCACTGAGTTGCATTATTAAACTATGTCATAGACAGTTTGAGGGAGTGTGAAATTAGTTTCAAGCTCCTGCATCTGAATAAATTATACAAATCCGAATGATTCGCAAGTATTCACTCCATAAAATGTCTAAACTATATGGCCTCAGACCTGAATACAACTGATGTGCATATATCAGAGTTTGATAAAGATAGTAACTGCAGCATTAAATGTCTATTTTCTACAATTTAATATACATCTGTTATGTTTGGCACCAATCGCTGTTTGTATTAATCTTATTGGTGGGTGAGAATGTATTTAGAAAGCAACTGGATGGGTTACAGGAAGTCATTAGTTAAGAGCTTGGTATGTATGGTGTGTCTACTAATCCAAAGCTGAATCTGCATCCATGTTTTGGCTTTTTAAAAATATTACCAACACCAGACTTTCCACTATGTAGAACATGTTTATTTTCAGTTTCTGGAATTTGTCTGGCTTTGAACACTAATCTTTATGTTCATGGTTGGTGTTTAGGAAAGCTTTGCTTGCGGTACATTTTACGTGCTGTACTAGTTCCAACTTCAACTTTTACATTTCCATAAATGTTTTGCCATTTTGAACCCAAGGATTTGATATTCATTTGAATAATCTTTATTATTGGTTATCTTGAAGGCAATTTTGAAACCACTGATAGATTAATATTGCCTGCTATATTTAGCAACTAAATTTGCCGTGTTTGAAGATGGGAGGTTGATCCAAAGGAATCATTCATATATGCAAGGTGTATTCTTGTCACTCTTAACATGCTGTGAAGTAAAACCTGATAGCAGTGCAATTCAAATGATGTGGAATACAGTGATTAATGGAACCTGCTGGCTGTCTGCCTGCTGTGACATCTACTGTTGACCAACTGCACAAACTCTATCTCTACTTTCGGAGAACACGTTCATCCTTGTCAAGGGCATAACTGAGCTTGGATGTTCACATGCTATCTCCCTCCCCCGCCCGTGTTACTACTCTGTAACGCATTCTCGTTTGTCCATTATCCTGTTGTAATTAATTACAACATAGTTACTTGTCATATATTACATTTGTGTTTCTGAGGAAGGTTTTGAAACTTTAACACTTGAATTCTCCCTTCCAGAGTTTAGACGTTTTCACAATTCATCTAACAAACAAGGTTTAAATCCCAGTGGGTTTGACTTTCATTTATCTATTTTATAGTATGCTAATTGTAAAGATTCTTTATAAAATCAGATTCATTGTTTTGTGTTTTTTGTAGAAATGGCAGGATATTATCAAAGAAGTGAAATTTCTACAGAAATTAAGACATCCGAATAGTATTGAATACAAAGGCTGCTACTTACGGGAACACACAGCATGGGTAAGCAATTAATTAACTGCATGAGAGTTATTGTTCATTTAATTCATTGTATTTTTTGTTTTCATTTTTTGCTCATATGAAAACCCATTATTACGATCACATATTTCACTTACCCACAGATAATTTGTGGTCTTTCAATGTTGCCACTATTCTTCATTTAAAATAAATTATTACTGATGCATTCTAGGAAAAAAACAAAATTTGAGCTAATAGATTATGTAATTAATTCTTCACCTTAAATACCCTTCCAACGTTATTTTTCAATCTTTGAAAAGTGCATCTTTGAGCAGAATCCTCTTAAGGTTACTTGATGATTTGCCTTATAGATGGTGATTTGATAACTTTGAACAGAATGAAGAATCTAGTTTAAATGTCATACCTACTTGATGTATAGTGGTTTACGATTGATGGAAACAATGGTATATTTTTATTTTCTGTAACAAGCAACAACAACAACAAGATTCCATTTATTTATTTGTTTATTTATTATTCCCTAAGCACCCAGTGGAATACAATTCCTGCTCAAAATCACACTTGCGGCAGCTCCATCCTCATTCTAATATCTTTTAAAAGCTAATAAATGTTCAACATTCGTGCTTGAACGTGTCTTTTTATCAGCTGTTTTCCTTTACAGCTGGTCATGGAGTACTGTTTAGGGTCGGCTTCAGATCTCCTAGAAGGTAACGCTTTTCTCAGTATTCTCTGTACACTTTTATCTATTTGAAATTATCATGCAAGTCAAAATTCTCAATGTGAACAGGTAATAATGCATTTTATAACAGCGCAGTTGCATTTGTAAAGCGCAAAATAGCATCTTGGTGTACTGCACAACGGTTCACAGTGCTGCCAGAGCTGCACACCATCCTTGAATCCTAGTCTTACATTAGCAGCTTCTACCTTGGCATTTCTCAACATGTTCTGGGTGTAAATGTATAATTTATCTGGCCTCAAGGTAATCTCTTAATGTGTAAGGGGATCATTGTAAAAGTTCTTCAGATCTCCTTAATATGGCATTGGAATTAATTAAGAAGGAAGATTGTATTCATGCCTTTGGTATTATTGGCTTTTGTGTTTTGTAAGTACAGTACTTAATTTCCCCCCAATTGATTTATTTTCGACTCTCTTCCCCTGAAGTTAGTGACATGGTAGAATTATGGTTCCTTCTGCACGGGAAGCTTCTTTACTTGGTTATCAAAGGATACAATATATTTTTTAAATGCTTTAAAAAAATCACTATTTGCTTTGGGAATAAATCTGTGCCAGTCAAGATTTACAGCCCTAAATGTTTCACTTCCAGTAAGATCTCCACTTGACAGCTAACTACTGATTTTTCATTCGTGGTGTTCCTTTTTTTTTCCTTTCAGTTCATAAGAAGCCTCTCCAGGAAGTTGAGATAGCTGCCATCACCCATGGTGCTCTGCAGGGATTAGCCTATTTGCATTCCCATAACATGATCCACAGGTAAGTAAGCCACATTCAGTGGGATCCTGTATTAGGCGCAAACATTTTAACGTATTTCCAGACTACAAAAAAAATTGCAAAGGCTATTTCAGTCAGCTATAAAAGAATTGCAGTATTAGTTTATTGCATTGACTTCCATATGTTTTCAGGCTTTCATAGTAGGAACCTATTTTGCTTCCTGTCGAGCATTTTACCAACATTTTTGTCTTGGAGAACTACAATTGTATTTCTACACTTGAAGATTTAAAATAATGTTATTCATTCTAATTATTGCCATATTTAGATTGCTAGAACTTGGCTAGAAATCACAAAATGCTCTTCTAGATACTTTTGTACGAATGAAAAAGATGCGGTAGATGACAGACAATTCCTGTAGTGCTTGTTTGAAATAGTTTTAAAAATATATTGTTAGATTGTGGCAATTAATTGAATATCACTATTTTTAGTCATAAATGCCACAACTTGCTTTCCTTTGATATTCTAATAGGATTTACAATTATGATCTGCAGCTTATTATAGCAGGGTATACCATGATCAAAGACTAACATTAAACATTGCTTTTTTTTCTGATTATTGAGTTTTGTATTGCATGGTAATTTTCCAGTAAAGAATTTTATTCAAACAAAGATGTCGTGAATTAAATACTCTTGTCACAATGTTTCACACTCATCTCTGCTTTGATTCAGTTCATGTGACTGGCAGTATTAAATTACCAGGCCTTTGCGTGTTTTTTGATTTCCTTTTCATACTAGCTTGCATAACTCTCCAGAGCTAGACTCTGTTTCAGTTCCGAATTCAAAGGCTTGAGTTTGTACACTGATCTAATAACTGTTTTATATGCTAGAATTTTGTTTTTAACCAAAAGTGATGCTTCTGTTGAGTCAAAATAAAGTGGATGCATTCTGGTAATTTCTCTTAACTGCTTCCTCTTCATAGTGTTGTTAAATTGTGTCTTGACCTCTAGAATGAACAAATTAATTCAAATATGAACCAAACTCATTGATACAAATACTATAAGTGTGCATGCTTCAGTAGCAGTTTTGTTTTGTATTCTTTCAGTTGACCTGCTCATTATTCTGACACTGGAATTATAATATACAAATGGCCTGCTTCACTTACCCCACCCACCCCACCCCACCATCGGCAGCCTTTCTGCCCCATTCTCTGGAACTCCATCCTAGAAACCTTTACCTTGCCTCCTTCAAAGTCCTATATAGCAATTTGTATTGGAGGAAACAGATCAACCGTAAACACACAGGGCACAATTGGGAGTGAGTATCTATACGCACAAATGTGCTGGTGAATTTCTTGCTCCTTTTACAACTACTACAGCAAAATTACATTTGTATAGCGCCTTTCAAGGCGCTGGACAGTCAGAGTTTTGGACCCAAGCTGGGGGACGGGATCATGGAGGGCAGAGAGGGAAGCACGGTCGAAGAGGAGGGCCTTGAGATGAGTCTTGAAGGAGGCAAGGGAAGGGGCCAGGCGAAGGGACTGCAGGATGGAGTTCCAGAGGGTGGGGGTAGAGTGGCAGAAGACTCACCCGCCAATGGTGGGGCAAGCAAGGCAGGGGACATGAAGCAAGCCGGAGCCCTGAATGGAGGGAGCGGGCAGAATGGTAGGGAGTTAGGAGGTCGCACAAGTAGGTGGGAGCAAGACCATGGCGGGCTTTGAAGGTGAGGACCAGGATCTTGAACTGTATCCTCTGTGATGGGAAGCCAGTGGAGTCGGGCGAGGATGGGGGTGATAGGGTCACGGAGTCTGATGCAGGAGGGGACACGGGCTGCAGGATTCTGGATGATCTGCAGCCTATGGAGGGAGGAGTTGGGGAGGCCGACAAGTAATGAGTTTGTATAGTCAAGCCTTGATCTAATGAAAGCGTGTATGAGGGTTTCAGCGGCCTGCGGGGTGAGACTGGTGGAGCCGGGCGATGCTGTGAAGGTGGTGGAAGGCAGAGCAGGTCATGGCACAGATGTGGGGTAGAAAGGATAGTTGAGGGTTAAACAAGAAGCCAAGGTTCTGCACTGGCTCATCAAGTTGGAGTGTGCAACCATGGATGGTGTTGCTGTCAGCACCTGAGGTGTGGAGGCGCTGATGGGAGCCAATCAGGAGAGCCTCAGTCTTGTTGAAGTTCAACTGAAGAAAATTAGCTTTTTATGAATTTCAAACACGTAAATGAACTTTTACAATACTTGAGTCATGTTGTTAGGTTCAGAGCTTCAGTTAAACTAGACTTGATATATAGGTTTATCTGCCCAGGTATCTTGAGAAACCTTTGTGTTCTTCAGCTGAAACAATTCATTAGACTTTCAATTAACTTGGCAAGTGTTCATTTTTTCTGACTCCTGGGGTATTTCTTTACAATTGGTGTAATGACTGTTTTGACTACACTCATAACTTTCAATAATTACCACAATCATAGGATTTGCTCTGGTTTATTTTATCTAACGTTTGATATGTTTTGTGTACAATTTCAATAAATATGCCTGTGGCACAAATATTCTTCAGTTTGCATTCAACAATGATTACAAGCATAGATATTTCACCTCATTTATTTTCACAACGTTATTCCCCAGAAAGGAATGGAATGGTGAGTTTTGAAATCGATGGTGATTTTTGCCTGGCGTACTTTATATACATGTGCATTTTTTTCTGATCAGAGACATAAAGGCAGGCAATATCCTGCTGACAGAACCGGGCCAAGTAAAGCTAGCTGATTTTGGGTCTGCTTCCATAGTATCTCCTGCCAATTCATTTGTGGGGACACCATATTGGTAAGAAACTCTTTTTTTCCCCTGAGTAATGTGATTAATAAATGCTGAAAATGTTTTGCTTTATGAAATTATTTCTGATTTTTTTCTCTGAACTCTAAAAAGCAGAGCTCCCAACATTAATATGCTGAAAATATTCGAGCTGAATCTGTGGCAGTAAAAAGGCGACATTTGCATTTCCTTATCCTTTGCTCATGCCTATTGAGCAATTACCTGTGAAGTGCTTTGAGACTTTGACGTTTTAGTCTCCATAATAAGATACAAAGATTATTCAGCACAAGTACAGTTCACAGTGCTTCCAAGGAAGATAGGAGGCAGTCTGTTTCCCACTATAGAGCCTACATTATTCGCTGCTGCAGCCTGTTGCCTCTCAGTAGAACTGCATTTCACATGAAAAACTGTTTTCACCAGCTGTTGATTATGGTTCCAAAGGCTGAGATATAGATTCTAGCTCATAGAATGAGCATAAGCAAGTGTAATTCCCGGTGAAAAAAGTCAAGCATTTTGCAAGAATACTTTAAAGTCAGTATCTTTACAGTTTTAAATCACTAACATTAAGATTTTTTTTTAAATCTTGTTTTGCCCAGCATGAGTGAATTGCTCACATAAGCCTTCAAAGAGATAGGTGCCATTGCATTTGCGTATTAATATTATGCATGCATATTGTGCTCCAGGCTAAAATAAGTAAATAGATTTTGCCTCAGTTTCCGGATTTTCAATGGTTGATGTATTTGAGTGAACAGCACAGAAATAAGTGGTTGCATTCAGTTTAGTATAATTTGTACATTAATATCCTTAATTCTATTATTATTTGGACTTGCTGTGGAGGAATACTATATTAAGTTAGCATTTCAGAGAGGCTATTTGGAAAGGCTTGTGCCCAGACAGTAATGTGGTATATACCATTACTGGTATAGTGGCAGCAGCCACCTACAATGTTGATACCCTAATGAAAACCTTCACCTTTTATGAAATTGTTTTTTAAGCTGATGACTAAAACAAGTGCTTTATTATGAATAGGATGGCTCCTGAAGTGATTCTTGCCATGGATGAAGGACAGTATGATGGTAAAGTGGATGTTTGGTCCCTAGGAATTACATGCATTGAATTAGGTAAGACATTGCAATTAGCTGAGTGCATGAAACGATTAAGTATGGCTTAAGGGAACAGCTATAAGCTACGTAATGGAATACAATAAAATATGCATCCTGAATCTTGTAATGCATTTAAAATGACTCTACAATTATACCTTGAATGGAACCTTAAATAACACATTGAAATACCATTTGCATTTTCATTATTTCTGGAATGTGATTATTGTTGTTACTTATTGCCCACAGCGGAGCGAAAGCCCCCTTTGTTTAATATGAATGCAATGAGTGCCTTATACCACATAGCACAGAATGAGTCACCTGCTCTTCAATCCAATGAATGGTGAGTACTTATTTGAAATCTTTAGATTTCTTTGTTTAAAAAAACATTTTTAATTATTAGCTATTAGTTTAAGTGCAGTGAAACTTGCTCTTGAGGATGGTTAGCAGACTGGCTTATTTTGCTCTTATCAACAAGTTGCCTTCATTACTGTGTTTGGCACATTTAACTGCACATTTTCTCCAAAAAAATCCTTAAAAGTTATATTGAATTGGAATATTGTACAATCATCTGACTATATCATAGTGAACAGACCTGCTTAGCATCTGGTTCAGCATTATCTGCATATAGAAGCTGTTGCAAGCAATCAGATGTAGTGCCTATTAATTTTATTGTAACTTTAGTTGTCGAGTGCTGACTTTTGAAAAAGAAAATAGGATCGTTGATCAATGAGCTTTTTTTCTGTAGACTGCCAGGAGATCACAATCTTTTGTCGATTCATTTATGCACTATATCTCTCTCCTATGCATTTTGCATGATACAAATGCATTCATGCTATGTATTTTAAGTATTCAGCTAACACCTGCTATCGTATGTAGGAGATAATTAATTTGTGCTAGTTTATGTACCAATCACCGTCTTCTAGCCAAGGTATAACTTCTGTATGAGAAACCTGTATTGTGGATGTTTAATGCACATTAAAAGTAAAGTAGGACAGTGCTGTCTCTTTCTGGTCTTAAGGAATCATGTAAAATATGTATTAAGAAGTGCATGATTAAAATGGTGGCGGTTTATAGGATTTCTGTATTATTCAGGGGACCATTAACTGTGCTCATTTTTGACGCTACTGAGAGAACAATTTATAGTACAAGTACAGACTGTTCTAGGGAGTTATCGATAGAATTTTAAATAATTCAGGTTTTACATTTACAGTAAATTTTATTGAACTGGGATATTTAATTTGGTGACCACAAGTGACATCAATGGAACCCAGTCACTGTATACATTGCTCTTAAGTATTTCCACTTTTAGTGTTTTCCACACAATGTAAATTAAGTACATTATATGCCAAGTGCATATATTTATGCAGCTCTGTTGTTCCCTTATAAGCAGATTGACTATGACCAATGGAATCCTATCATGCTGCTTAATAGTTTACAACAAGAGGGTTATGTTTTCAGCTTTAAACTCATTCGGGGAGGGAGCGAATGTAGATTGAAACTGAGTCATGGTGGGAAATAGTGAAGTGCTTTGCTGATTTACATTTTTGCGATTCCAAAATGATCACTTTGCTTTGCAATACGAATATATATGAACATACCGATAGCCAGCGTTTCCACTTGGGCCTAGCTTTAGCCCATTTATGTCTTATTTTAATATTCTTCTTAAACAAAAAACAAAACAAAACTTAGATAAACCCAAATTGAAAATTAAGACTTTAGCAATTTGTCAAATTCTGGCATAAATAACGTACATCCAGATCCGGGTGTAATTTTTTCCCATGCATAATTATGAGTATTCACTTCATTTTCTTGAATAGTAATGTAGCTGCATTGAGAAACCATATTGATTTCACAAACCACGCAACTATGAAGGCTCATTGACATTTATTATATCCTTTGTTTTTCTTAGGTCTGACTACTTTCGAAACTTTGTAGACTCCTGCCTTCAGAAAATTCCTCAGGACAGACCCACTTCAGCGGAACTTCTGAAGGTCAGTAAGATTTTCTGATTGCTTAAGATATTCATCAGTTTCTCAGTTAACCTCTTTTTGGTCTAGAGTGTGATTTTGATATTTGTTTTCAATTTTTTTTGATGAATTGGATTCCCATAGGTTGAGATTACCATATTTATACTTAAGTAGAAATGCTGCGCTTAAGTTAAATTTAGACTTGCCTTCTGAAAAGATGTAGGAGTTCTGCTCACAGTTCCGAGAGTCATGTTGTGATGAACTGCTATTTTTTTATCGGTACTTCACTTTGATTTAACTTTTTTTTCTTACTTACAGCATGCTTTTGTCATTCGAGATCGTCCCGAAACAGTGTTGATAGACTTGATTCTGAGAACGAAAGATGCAGTCAGGGAGCTGGATAACCTCCAGTATAGGAAGATGAAGAAAATTCTTTTCCAGGAAGCACATAATGGGCCTGCAGTTGAGGCTCAGGAGGAAGAAGAGGTAAGATTGATTCCTGTGTGGAATAATCCTAAATAGGCCTTGTAACATGCCTATGCAAATAATAAGGACTTCAGTAACTGTTTACTATTTTTGCTTCAATCTTTTGTTACAAGTCTATTTTATTTCATGCACAGCTTGCAGCTGCAGTTGTACTCTGTAATTATGTTGATATCCAACTTATGCTGAAGCAAATCTAGACTTGGATAAGGATGATTTATGACCTATGGATTTATTTTTTTGCCAACATTTCAACCAAATGGTCTCTTGTTTAAAATGTAGCTTCGCTTTAGGGGATGATGGATGTTCCGGGAAGTACAATGGGGGAGGTGGGATGTCAGTATTTAGTCGGAGCTATGCTTGGTGGCTGAATGCAATTTGAATTGCTTTTGTTTTTTCTTTATTCCAATCTGGTAAAGTTCTTCATCTGTTGACACCAATTTTTTTAGTGATTAGTAATTGGTATTTTTTTTAGTGGAACTCATAACAGTATTTTGTTTTTATTTATTTGAAAGGAGCCTGATCATGGTGTTGGTAGGACGGGCACCGTTAATAGCGTGGGCAGTAACCAGTCTATACCAAGCATGTCTATCAGTGCTAGTAGCCAAAGCAGCAGTGTCAATAGTCTTCCAGATGCCTCTGATGATAACAGTGAGATTGCTATGATGCAGGAGGGAGATCATACTGTGATGTCAAACAGCTCAGTTATCCACCTAAAGCCAGTGAGTATAACCTTGTCATTCTCTTAAGGCCTTTTCTAATTGTTTCTGGTTTTAAACTGAACATGCATATAATAAGCAAAATTAACATGTACAGTCACACCTGTGAAAGCAGTAGACTGTCAATTCCTAATGTGCTTTCCACCAGGAGATATTGTGGGATATTAAGTGCAAAAACAGCTTGTCCTACTGGTATTCCTCCCTCCGATGCAGAGTGCTATACCGTTCTGCAACATTCCTCTTGAGGTCTATTTGCAAATGAGGAAATTTCAATCCACAGAGATCAATGATGGTTTTGCTTCCAGTTTGAGTCTGTTTGGTTGCTCTGCATTCTGCCGCTGGTCATCCCAGTGATTTTTGTTTCAGTAGTTTAGTTGATGATAATATAATAATCCTTGCATTTGATATAGTGCCTTATCATGTCTTTGAGACGTCTCAAGGCTTCATTTTCAAATTTGAATAGTGTATCGCACTAGCTCAATACCAAAGTAAAAAGGCTGACCAATAATAACTCAACTATGATTGACAATTTTAACTGCCTGTGAGTTAGTCTTGGCAAATTTGTGGTCATTATTTATCACAGTTGCTTTTCCCTTTTCTGAAATGCTTTTAAAAGGCAATATTTTGAAGGCAATTATTAGCTAGCATATTCCAAGAAAGGTCAAATTAATCATGTTTTTGGCATGCCAGAGAGACTTCATTTAGCCAATGCCATTTTCACTTTTAGTGTTAGGAATTTATACAGCTGTCCAATATATGAAGTGCTTTATAAAATAGGAGGTTGTTTATAGCTAATGTTTTTTTTCGGAAAATAGTGTTATTGTATCCAATCTTCCAGAGATAAGAAACATAGAATTCTGGTGGGTTTTCTTACACTGCTAAAATTATCGGAACTATAGTAAATTGTGGTTCAGACAAGACTGACTACATGACGAAAGAGATTTGTTTTCGGAAGATAAACTGGGATGTTTTTTGAACTGTGATATTTTGTAGTTTATGCAACACTTGTTGGTTTCTCTACACTGGGAATCTGGTGTAAGTTGCACACCTTTTTCGGAGTGTCAAAAATTGAGTTTTAGTTCCAGGCTTGCAAATTGCAAAATAACATTTTGTTTAACGCCTTGTTTCCATTGTTCTCAGGAGCAGGATAGCTATGGCGATGATGGTGACCACAGAGCTAGAGGTTCCGAACCACAGTCACCGCCTGCTGTTTCACGCCACAAGTCGCACTACCGTAATCGAGAGCATTTTGCCACTATACGCACAGCTTCCTTGGTGAGTACCTGTTCGACTGAAAGACAGCTGTGGAATTATGCAGCTGAAACGAAACGCCTCTATGTAAGGCGTTTTGCACTAATCTAATGATAATCTGGTTCACATCAGGTGAAGTGGGGTCAGAAATAGAACAGAGATGTAATGAACTTTTACGTGTCCAGCCATTACCATGTAGACCATTAGAGAAGGACCTTATCGTAGAAAGCATGCCTCTGTGTGGCTTGTTACTGGGCAGTTCCTCAGTGAATCAAACATGACTGCTGTCTACACACGCTATAGTAGAAGCAGTATTGGAAATCTGATTGCAGGTCATGTACTTTCACGCACCAGGCTCCATGACCCCATCACTCCCACCCTCGGCTGACTCCACTGGCTCCCCAACCTCCAGAGGATCGAGTTCAAGATCTTCGTCCTCACCTTTAAGGCCATCCATGGCCTTGCCCCCTCCTACCTCTCTGAACTGCTGACTCCCTCCGTTCATCGGGCTCTGGCCTGCTCCATGCCTCCCGTCCGACCCGACCTACCTTCGGTGGTCGGGCTTTCAGCCTCTCTGCCCCCACACTCTGGAACTCCATCCCACGGTCCCTTCGCCTCACTTCCTCCCTTGCCTCCTTCAAGACTGGTCTCAAGACCCTTCACTTCGACAGTGCCTTTGGTCTCCCTCCCACCTCTCTGCCTTCCCTCACCCCTACACAACCCCTCCCTCGTGCTCGGGCCCCAACGCCTGACTGTTCAGCGCTTTGGAACGTCCTCCCGACGTGAAAGGCACTCTATAAATGTAATTTTGTTGTTGGTGTTGATGTTTAAGAAAGCTTTGTACTTCTGAGCACACAAACTGTTATCATCTTTACTCGTGTTGCATTTTCTGAAAAGTTGCTGCGTCGCAGTACTCCTGTGGGATTACCTCTAAATGTGCTTGTTTTAATTATAATGAAATGTGTCAAGGAAATGTGAATGCTACTGTGGACACAAACTCTAATTCAATTCATTATAGGCTAGTTATAGTCTAGTTGCTGTCTAATATTATCGACACAGTACAGTTCTATGTCATTTCGAAATTAACTTAAAACTAAAATTCTATTAAATGATAGTCATTGAAAAAAACGTGTCGCCTATTCTTCAGGTCACGAGGCAAATCCAAGAACACGAACAAGATTCTGAGCTTCGAGAACAGATGTCTGGCTATAAACGTATGCGACGCCAACACCAGAAACAACTGATGGCATTGGAGAACAAGCTGAAAGCTGAAATGGATGAACACAGGCTGCGGCTGGACAAGGAGCTGGAAACACAACGCAACAGCTTTGCAGCAGAGATGGAGAAACTCATCAAGAAGCACCTGTGTATAATGGAAAAAGAGGTAACGTCTCACAAATCCCTCATAATTCTTGTTATTTGAAACGCACACACTGAGCATTTGGATTTCGGGCATCTTGTACATGTGCAGCACAGAAATGGTTTGCTGATTTAGCTCATCGTGGCTTCCAATCATTCCAGTTTGTAGAATGTATTCAGTGTAAGTGTACCACTCTTCCTTCAGGTCAGAGCGCATCTGGACGGCTGATTGGCTCTCTGTGACATCAAAACTAGTCCTGTTCTGTAGAGGTAGTCAACAAGAAATGCACATGACGAGAACAGGAATGCCTGTTTCACTCCTCCAGTAAACTGACGTATACAATTTCTAGATGGCTACCAAATAGTTGGCGGATCAATTTCAGCCACAGCTGTTTAGTGAGTGATGTAACTACTATACATCAGGTGCCTCTGCCATTCATGTTTTAAAGTGAGTTTCTCAGTATTGCAGTTTGACAAAACATGTTGGATTGCTGGCCCTTTTATGGAATATTATTCTTCTTTAAACCTAGTTCATGTTTTCACAGTCATTTTGATGTTTCATTAAAATGTTTTGTATTGATCAGTGGTGGGTGGAACAGTTCGATTTAATAATCCCAGAAAAGCTGCTCCATATTTCATTTTTAAACAAACCATGGAACCTATGTGTTTTGTGTTATACAATAGATCCTGTTATAATACGGTGGTTAGGGCCCATAAAATTTCAACCTGCGTTATAACGGTTCCACCACGCATGCAAACAACCAGCTTCTTCCTATGCACCAGCTGTTTCCCACTTTCCTCAAATTTTTGAAAAGTCGACTTCCGAGATATGAGGTTGCTGCTGATGTCACTGTGTTCTGTGAGCAGAAAGTGACATCAAGTGGCAACCTAATGATCTTAAAGTCGACCATATTTAGCACATTACGGTGGATGGGGTCCACATACCCTCCTGTAACGAACAGCGTAAAGAGTTGGAAACTCTAGTTGGAAGTAAACGCAAGGCTGTAAAATATGGGGATTAATGGCAAAGCAGAAGCACTTCAGTTTATGGCTCCTAAAACAACTAAGATTGTGTTCCAACCTTGTAACTTGCTTCACACCAAGCTGTTGTTTATTGTATGCACCCGTGCAGATGGATAATGCTTCCAATTTAAAAAGTCCTTTGTATTTCAAAAATTGTATCAGGCTGCTTTGAATTATTAAACGGGGAAAAAATGATTTTTTTTCTTTTGAAATTGGGAACTCTAGTAATAGAAAAATACTCCTTTACGTAGACTTGAAGCTTAGGGCTGCAACTCATTACATTTTTTTTACTTCTCAGAGCAAAGCAGTTTCTACTGAAGAAAAGAAATTTCAGCAGCACATTCAAGCACAGCAGAAGAAGGAATTGAACAGCTTTCTGGAATCCCAAAAGAGAGAATACAAACTGCGTAAGGAACAGCTGAAAGAGGTGAGAATGTGCTGCACCCTCAACAACAACTTGCATTTATATAGTGGCCTTCACGCGGGTTAGTGTCCCGGAGCTCAAACGAACAAAGCAAGTGAATTTGTGTGCACTTGCAAACTCGGCAGAATGTGACCCATCAGTGAGTTAATTGCAGTGCTTAACATCTTTGTTAGGTCTTGATGTCTGTTAATGAGTTCCTAAAGGGCAATGCAATAATCAATCAGGCAACAATTGTACACTTGTCAGAACAATTTGCAATATTTGCTTGTGCCTGCAGTTGTATTAAGTAAAGAAAGCATGTCAAAGGTTCATGCTTTGCTTTCTATGAAACATTTGGAGGATCAGAAGGTGGACCCAGGTTTGTCATTTTGAAATTTCAGCCTTAAAATAGGAATAACTTTCAAAATTCCAATGCTGTCTGTGTACAAATTTATGAAGCCCGACTTTTGTAAAACAAAATCTATATTTCGACTTGTCGGAATGCAACTAGACTCGATGGGGGAATGGGGGTAGATTGCGGATGTGCACAGAAAATCACATAGATATGAGTAGAAATATAATTATGAACCTGAGAAGTGTTTGGGTGCTCAGATGTATTATAAATTGGATAAGAGCGGTTGTTAACTATACGGTTGAAAAGAATTGAAGATAATATGAGAATCAATTGTTCTCATAGGGAGAGTTCTGTAATTATAAATGCCTGTTGTCACCATCAGGAGCTAAGTGAAAATCAGAGTACCCCAAAGAAAGAGAAACAAGAATGGCTGTCGAAGCAGAAGGAAAACTTCCAGCATTTCCAGGCTGAAGAAGAAGCGAACTTACTGCGCCGCCAACGTCAATACCTAGAGTTGGAATGTCGACGCTTCAAACGGAGAATGCTCCTTTCACGTCATAACCTTGAGCAGGATCTTGTGCGGGAGGTATGCTGTTAAGACTAACAATACAAGTAGGCCAACATTATTATGTGGTTTGGGCCCGTAAGCCCAAACCCCACATTATATCGAAGTGTACTTGGGGGGGTGGGGAAGCCATGGATCAGCATGGTGGATGTTCAGAAAGCTGCCGTTGCTTCCTCTGTTTGTGTGTGTGTGTATGCACGATGTAGAGAAGGCGCCCAGTCACAGCCAGAAGGGTACCATGATTCCGATATAGTGCGGCAGGTCCACAATACATCTGTGCCATTCAGGAACTCTCACTAAACCAGGGCAGGTAAAATGGGGTCGGCCTGTATTGATTCGAAATGTCAGCGTCCAACAAATGTAACCGTTGCACCTGCTAATTGTCTCATCACAAAAATCTTAACTAGATCATTAAAACTTTTATATTCCGAAAAAGAATCAACCTGCGGAGTTAGTCGGTTCAAATTTGCTTAAAAAATAATAGAACAGCACTATTCCAATAATGTAATTTTAATGTTAAAACAAAATGGATTTCAACTTTAAACTTTATTTCCCCCCGAACTTAGTCTGTAATTAACAATAGCTCCAGGAATCTTCAGGGAAATAACAAACACCTTCTGTCTGTAGTTTCATAGCCCATATCTATTCAAAATGCGTTTCCTCTTATCTTTTCAAACAATCTCGTTATTGTGCTTTTTTCCCCCTCCAACCTTATGACTCTTTCTTTCTCTCCTAGGAGCTGAATAAGAAGCAGACGCAGAAAGATCTGGAGCATGCAATGCTGTTGCGCCACCACGAGTCCATGCAGGAGCTGGAATTCCGCCACCTCACCAACATCCAGCGAATGCGCAGCGAGCTCATCCGACTGCAGCATCAAACCGAGCTGACAAACCAGCTGGAGTACAATAAACGGCGGGAGCGGGAACTGCGCCGCAAACATGGAATGGAAGTCAGGCAGCAGCCCAAGAGCTTGAAGGTAACAAGGATCATGCCGTGAAAGGGTTAAAATAATCCCAGGTGTAGGGGGTGCACCTTTTTTTGGAAAAAAAAGCTTTGTTTTCCCCTCCGCTCCAAACTTTTGCATCTATTGTCCTCCACATTTAAAGGGTGATATTCCAGGTCACTACCAATGACTAGCCAGTCTTGTGCTGGCTGTTTCGATGTGTTGTTGACTGGACCAGAGGTACTCTGATTTTCACTTAGTTCTCTTACAGAACTCTCTTTATGAAAACAACGGATTCTCATAGTTCAATTTTTTTCAGGGAGTCATTTTTCCCTCTATTTCCTTAACTTGGTACCTCTTTCTGAAGAGCTGCCTGAAACTGAGAACCCACTTTGTGGAGGATTGCTAATTAAACGCTTGCCCACCAGACTACAGATTTGCCTAGACTTTTATGCTTGAGTGTAAGTTTTAAATCAAACCCGTGACGTTGAATGTTTTACAGACTGATGGAACTACCCTGCAGTTTGTCTAAAGTCACGTTCCTGGGTTTGATGGTCTTTAGACCTCTCTGTTAAAGTCTTGGAAATAATTGTTTTCCCACTTTCTCAAATTTTTTTAATGTTATTTTTATTATTAAACTGGGCGTGTACAGTATTTCTGTACATCACTGGGGGTTTACCAGTTAAATGAAGCCTTTTCTGATTTCTAGATTATGGAGTCCTGTTAGTCAGTTTATCAGTTTAAACACTGCTGCACGCGGTTGAGAGAGTTACACCACCCTTCTGTTTCCAGTTGTTTGGAATGTTAGTTATAAACTAGGTTGGACGTCAAAGGCTGCACCATAGAACGTATTGACAGATTCCAAATTAATTGTTTCTCGCAAGAGATTCCCTCCCTATTTATTTAATAAAGTTGGTAACATTCTTACACATTATCCTGAAAAGTCGTAATCTGCAGCTTTTGGTTTGTGCACAGTGTGACTTTTCAGATCAGCATTTCTCCTTTCCCTTCCTGAATACTCGGCCCAACACTAGATTTTCCCATATCATTGGCCTCCATTCTGTGTCCAGGAAGAGAGAGCATACTGATCAGAACCAGCTCCGAAGGAATGACTTAGTAGCATTCCAGTATCTGAACATGAAGAGGTATGAAATCATAGGGCTTTGCGATATTGAGCAAAAACGAAACGTATCTAAGAGATTTTCTTCACTTCTGAAGACACTTCCCTAGTAATGGCCTTCTGTAATCTTGATCTGGATAACTATTTTAATAGTTGGTATGGATCAAGACTTTCTGGGTTGATGCTGTGGGAGAGAAGAGGAATCTGGTCCAACTCAGATAGAATGTTATTTTCCTTTACTCTATAGGATGTTATGCTTGGAGTGAGTGCACTACACATTTTACAATTAAAATAAAACATTGTTTCTGTGTATCTTTTTTCCTTTTAGCTACTAAAATAAGTCTATACTCTTGATCATGTAGAGATTATTGCTGTACTGCGGAAACTGTCTGTCATTTGAAAGATAGAAGTTTGAAATTCTAGCTTGTGTGCAAACCACAATTAGACAATATGTGTAAAACAAGTTGCATGTGCTTCTAGTCAAAAGAACTGCAAATTAAGAAACAGTTCCAGGATACTTGTAAGATCCAGACACGACAGTACAAGGCCCTTCGTAACCACCTGCTGGAAACCACCCCCAAGAGTGAACATAAAGCCGTGCTGAAACGATTGAAGGATGAACAGACACGAAAACTGGCCATCCTTGCTGAACAGTACGACCACAGCATTAACGAAATGTTATCAACACAAGCGGTAAGTGCCGAGTATCACTACGGAGGAGCCTAGTTATTCCAACACAATGAGGAATCTTGTCCAACTCAGGGATAAATAAGATAAATTATTTTGTTTTACTTGTAGGATATTAAGCTTGGAGTGAATGTAACTTAACGTTCTATAGACTAAAAAAATGGAAGTCTTTAGACCTTTGATTAGTGAGTGTAATTTCTGTTTGAAGTAGAAATCTTAGCTAAAGTTCAGTAAAGACGTACATTTCAAGTTCTTCAGGTGTTTGTTGCACTGTTTTTTCTTAGACCAGGAAAAAGGTTTTCTCGGTTTTGCTCATAAAGGAGACTTGTGACATGCTATGGAAGAAAGAAAGGTGGATTTTGTTATATTGATCCGCATCAATCAATGAAGAACTGCTCAGAAGTGTAACTCCCTTTTGTTAATTTTGATTTTCAATAAGTTCAGTGTTTAGAAAACACTGGAAATGTTTTTAAACATATCTTTCTGTATTATGGAGATGTATTGTGCCTTTCTTTGCTGCTGCTTTAGAGACTTGTTGTAAAGTAGTCAACAGGATATAAACCCTTTTGGATAGGACCTTTGCTGCTTCTAATCTCTTTGATAGGATTAAAATCAGCAAAGGGTCTTTTTGTAGGCTTTGACTTTTCTGGTGACATAGTCCTAGCTAATCCTTGCCAGCCTTTTTCCAAGAACAGTCAAATGGGCATGCAATATATGAAAAGGGTTTTGACAGAGCGAACTTGGAGACTTGAACAATGTGGATGTGAGCCTGCTATTTGTTGTTCGCTGTTACCATCCTCCTCTGTGCTATTCTGGAAAAAGATAAGTCTGTTAGAATCTAAACAGGTAATTGAAAGGAAGAGTTATTCTAGCCATACTTTTACCTCCTTGCGGCAATTTAGTAATTGCCATTGGTGGGAGCAAGTCATCTTTCTTTACCAGAGTTGGTGTGTAGCAAGGGAAACATAGCAAGGAATGGAAGACATTTCCAGTGAGTCTAAGCTCTTTCCTCCTCTGATACCTAAAATGGATAAAATGTAATTTCCAATATGAATGTGCTGCAATGGGGTTTGATGAACCATTCCTGTTGCACAGTATAAGCTTACCATATTAACGCAAGTCTTGACATTTTGTGCTGAATAGGATCAGGTTGATGAAGCTTAGACCATGTTTCTGCACAATAAGACACCAGAGAATCGAAAATATTAACCGTAATCCTCTTTACTTAATGCTTAGCATGAATGTACTGCCTTTCCTAAATTGAGTAAAATAAAAAGAATGTATTGTAAGTTCTTTGCAGATGTCTGGGGGAAAAAAGGAGATAAAAAAAACATGGGGTGGGGGTCACATTGCACATTGATGAAAGTTAAATAAATTGAAGAATCTAAGACGATCCATGTTTTCGAAGTAAATGGTATTTTTTTCAAGTTGCCATTATATGATGTACTTTTTGTTCCCCCTTATTGTTAGTGACCTGTAAAATGTGGTTGTTTGTTGTCAATACTGAGTTCCAGTTTCACAATCAGCTGTTCGAAACAGTTATTTACCAGAATTTGAAGTGATTTCTGTCAAACACTAAGTCAGTCATTTGTGAAACACAAAATTGGCTCTGCCTGAGTTTCTGCAGCTCCTTCCCCACCAGCAGTTAGTGTTGCCCCGTTCCTGTCATTTGTAACGTCAAAATCCAGATGTTTTATTTTAAAATAATAATTATAATCCTTGCATTCGATTTAGAGCCTTTTCAAGTCATTGGGATGTCTCAAATAACTTCGCAGAATGTAGTGTCAAGTGAATTGACTACATATTTTGTGGGCGAAACGCTGTAGCCCATATAGCGCACAGCAGTGTCCCACTAACAGTCGTAGGTTGAGTGACCACTTTTTTTAAAAAAGGAATTTAAATTTAAATGCACATTTGTGGAAGTTAACGGGCATTAATCTGGGACAGTGTTTCTGCCCTAGACTTTATTTGCCCTTTGATGCATTAGAATTTGTCTGTGAAAAATGTGAGAAATGCTAAATAAATTTCTGGTATTCAACATATGTGAAAGGGTGATTGTTCAGATGCATGTTTTTTTGAGGAGCTGCCATAGTGATGGGCAAACAAATGGTCATAACAAGGACTTTTTTTTCATTCGATTATTTTGATTAGGTCATATCTTGCGACATGCCTAATCCTTGGTTGCATTAATTTTTACATAATTTGGGTCGAAGCGATGTCTCAGTTTGAATTTGTTATTCACAAAATGGAATAATTGTTCTCACGCTCAGGGTTTACGCTAAATAGGGTGGAATCTGTTGAAAGGACCTAAGCCCGCCAGAGCTGGCATAACTTGGTGCATCTTCCTTTTTTCCAAAGGCCCCATAATATGTTCCATCTGTGCCAAGGGTTATATTCTTGCAACAGATTTTATGTAGTTGGATTCTCTGCTTTCTGAATTCGATGAGTTCTTTTTTTAACAAGACCATTCTATAAAGCTACTTTTTTTCAGGGTATATCTGTTCACGTACCTGAAGATTTGATCAAAGCTTTGTGCTCCAGAATGAATGTTTTACTGCTCACAAGCCTGTTAGCGCACAGGTGTTAAGCTAAACAACTCGGGGTGATGCTGAAATGTCAGAAGATGGTCTTCAAATGTTCTAAGAAGAGATCTATCCCCACGCATTGAATCTCACTTTTACAAGAAAAAATTGAGCCATCTTCTCACTTGTACATAAGATCAATGTAATTTCCCAAGTGGCAATAACTGATGTTTCACACACATGAAATTACTCCCTGAATTCAGCATTACAGGTTCGTCTTAAATTGTCCTTGGGTTTACAACGCATACACTTAGCAGTTGCTACAGCTATGTCCGTTCAATAATGTAAATTCTTAATTGGATTTCTCTGACCCCTTAATCTGTTTTATTTTTCTCTGTAAGGTTCTTCACATCACTCCCTGACTAGGAAGAGCAGACAAGCACATGTCTTACAAGCCTCTACTAATGCTACTCTGTTACTGAAAGTGCCCTAGTTAATTTGCCTATCTTTTTTTTCAATTCTCTCCCTTTGAAGAAATGGCTTGTTCTGACTTAATCTATATTGCATTGCATTGGAGATTCCTTCCATTTAAACAAACTGGCTTCATTTCATCATTCCCTGGATTGTTTTCAAAAATGGCATACTTGGAGCCATCTGTTAACACTGAAGTGTCAGCTGAGTAGCTTGAAATATCTTTTGGATTTACTTGTAACTAAATCCTTACAAAATTCCTGTTTTCTTGGTGTTGAGAAAGAACTTACCTTTCTACAGTGCCTCACCACATTGGAAGATCTCAAAAGTGTTTCATAGATAATTACCATTGAGTCTTGTCACTGTTTTTGTAGGCATAATGCATCAGCAATCTCCCATGAACAGTCAAAGAGGCGAATAGCAATTTGATCTTGATTTTTGTCCAGGACACTAGGAGAAACTCTTTTTGAATAGCTTTGTTTGATCCTTAAGTACCATTTGGAAATGGGCAGAACGAACCTCAATTTAATGTCTCAGATCAAAAGAAGCCCTCTGCAGCTTTCAGTATTGCACTGGAGTGTCAGCTGAGACTGAGCTTGTGTCTTAATGTGAGTCTTCAACAACTTTCTGACCAATGGACATGAGTGTTATAACAGAGCCAGAATGACAAAGGTTACAGTGACAATTGTTTCTATTTTTAGATTTCACTTTTTGAATGATTTTGGGCACCTGTTAAAATTTTGGTGATAGGCATCCCCAAAGTATACTGCTGCTTTCCCTCCCCCCACACCCCCACACACAGTTACCATTCTGCCAGCTATACACATACCTGCAGATTTAGCAGTATAGGCCTTATTATGCTTATGTTTGGAGAATGAAGTACATGCCTTAAAGAAGGAAATCATGTGAAAAGCTTTAATTTGAATTGGTTAAGTGTGTTGCACAGAGTGTGTTTGTAGTAGGATGTGTTTTGTTCATGGTTTATCTACTGGAAATGGTACCGATTTAAGGTGAAATAAGAAAATAGTCTCTAGTGCAACAGAGATTGAGAGGATAAAGATCAATCAGATCTGTCTGATCTTTTTCTGCCATTGAGCCAGGATTTCCAGGCACTATTCTGCACTAGCATATAATGCCCTCAAGCATTGAGGGCATTATGTGCTAGTGAGGACATTGAGGATAATGCAGTGTCAGCGGTAGTACCTCGCTACCCGTTCAGTTTCTTCTCATTAGATGTTTGTGGTACTTCTGTGTTTACGTCTTTATTTTTCAAACATCGACATTTTGATTGCTTAGTGGGCTTTCATGTCTTCTATCCCTCGTGCCCTCGCGATAAGAAAAATGGTTGTGTCCGATTTGATCAATATCACTGCCTTGCGGTAAAATATTCCTCGGATGCTCTTTTTACAGTTGCGCCTGGATGAAGCTCAGGAGGCTGAATGTCAGGTGCTGAAAATGCAATTGCAACAGGAACTTGAGCTGCTCAATGCGTACCAGAGCAAAATTAAAATGCAGACCGAGGCACAGCACGAGCGCGAACGTAAGGAGCTGGAACAGAGAGTCTCATTACGCAGAGCTCTACTGGAGCAAAAGGTATGCCCGCGCAGTAACCCAGTGACTCTTTCACTTAATTTGAAATGTAATGAAATCCGTCGAAGTCTTGCATCAATTCTCCGTTGCGCTCTCCGCATATGTCAGAGGAACAGAAGTAGGCCATTTGGCCATCTATCATTTTATTACATCATTGCACATAAAACCTGCACTTATTTTAAAATTTAGGTAACCTCCTTTTATGTTCGTCCGCCTTCCTGCTCACATTGCCACGCTGCAGCAAAAGTAACTCGATTTTGCTCAGAGAAGATTATAGAGGCAGTGCCACTTTAAGATGTCGCCCGTTGATTTCTCTCATCTCATCCTACTCCTCCCCAAACATTAACTCTTCTCAGTTCGTGGATGACTCACTGGTAAATCTCACCCTCAACACGTGTTTCAGTTCATGTGAGGAGCTCTGCTGCACACACCCTCTGGTGGTGTGACCGGCCAGAATAACTGCAGTTCCTCCTTCCACTACCACACAGATGTTGCTTGTAGTTTGCTGCCAAGTGCAGTATATTGTTGACATTTGCTTTTACAGCAATGCTTTTGATCAGGGTCTGGTCAAATAATGATTCGATAGTTGCGAGGTGGAAACTTTGAAACTCAGACACCGTCAGAGCAAACATAGGCTGTTTTTTTCATGTACTGAAAGGAAATTATTGATTTTTTTTTAATATTGGAAGAAAAGTTATCAGTTCTATCAAAAAATGTTTTGTTGTAGGAAGAATGTTAAAACTTACTTTTCCAGTTTACGAAGTTCAGTCATGTTGAGTCCTGTGACACCATGTGGAAGATTTGAGGTATTGCATAGGTGTGAGCCAAGAGTTTAAACAGTTGAATAAATCAGGTGTCGAGGATACTCTCCTTTTGTGCATGCTAGTAAACTGGAAATTTAATTTTGAGTGGGTTTCATAAATCCATTGCTTTCTCAGGATTCATGCCACTTCTATTAAATGGCACATTGAAAATCGTGAAGATCGCAAGACTTATATAATAAACAGGGTTGCTTATCTGTTAAGCGAGAGAGGGAGAATAATTTGTATTTGACTTTTCTTGTAGATTGAAGAGGAAATGTTGGCACTACAGAATGAACGCACTGAGAGGATACGAAGCTTACTGGAACGTCAGGCCCGAGAAATCGAGGCTTTTGACTCTGAGAGCATGAGACTTGGCTTCAGCAACATGGTCCTTTCTAATCTGTCTCCAGAGGCTTTCAGCCACAGCTACCCCGGAGCGACCAGTTGGTCTCATCATCCCTCTGGAGGAGGTGGACATCACTGGGGTCACCCCATGGGCGGCCCACCTCCTGCCTGGGGACACCCTATGTCAGGTGCGTCCCACCCCTGGGGGCATCCTGCTGGTCCAGTTGTTGCTGTACCTAGAGGACCTCCTATGGGGGTCCGCAACAGTCCCCAAGCTCTGAGGCGGACAGCTTCCGGAGGCAGATCTGAACAAGGCATGAGCAGGAGCACAAGTGTCACATCACAAATTTCCAATGGGTCACACATGTCTTACACATAATTCTAATAGGTTGAGGGAGGAGTTCCATCATTGCTGTCGTGCGTGCCTCCAGGCTCTGCAGAAACCCAGGCCCGCCCATTATGCATCATTTTGAAAGCAACTCTTTTTTTTGGTACTGCGGTTGGGATGCAGAGAGCAAAATGCGTTGGCTAGCCTTTCGGGAAAAACAGGTTTTTCATTTATTGTTAACTCAGAATTTTTCCGTTTGACATCACCTTGCAAGTTATCTTCTATCAGCCCTCAGGAGGGGGGTGGGGGCAGTGAAGGAAGGCGAGAAGAAAATCTTTGGTGAATTTAGGTCTGTCTAGCTGGACAATAGCAGCCTCTCACAGTAACGCAGTCCTTTTTTTTTTGCCTGTATAGTACTGACATCGTTTCAAAATTCCAGCTTTTTTTCAGTGCACTGGAAATTTCCATTTGAAAGTTATTCTTGGTTTCTACCGGCCATCGTGCAGTTGTGTTTCCCCCTCCACCCCCCACAAGGGCTGTGCCAGTAATCTAGCCAGCTGCTAACCAATGTCTGTCTGCCCAGAGCACGTGCCTGCTGAGATAGGTATGTATGAGATTAAATGGAAGCATAACAGGTTTAGCTTCCGCTCCAAAAGCAGATGCACGAGTTCAGTAAACCGGGGACGCTGAGCTGTGTCTGAAAGTGGACGCTTGGTATTTTGTTCTGTACGTACAGCCACCAACTTGCATTTGTTTAGTGATGATCACAGGTCAATTGCTCGCTCCTCTGGCATTTACCCTCTCCTGCATTATCTGTGAATTATTTAGCCACTAACCTGTCTAGACTATGGATAGTTAATAGGATAAATATTAATTTTAACTAATGCATAATTGTGATGCCATAAGTAAATCGCCAAATCATAGATAAAGCGAAACTACCTTCTGCTAGCTGTTTTTCAGGTCCCATCCAATAACTTTATTTTACTCATTAGGTGAAGCATTCTCCTTTTCCATTCCATTGCCACCCCCCCCCCCCACACACACACACACACACGCACACACACACAAGCACATACATGACATTACCTGGCATGTTACATGGCTCACAAATGGTGCTACGACACCATAGATAACCTGTTTCAAATGTGTGGCATTCACATACTGCCGTGGAAGGCAGGTTGAAGCTCCACATGTAAGAACTAACAAAACATAACTACATATATTACTCTTGAAAACAATTTCAATACAGACACTATTTTTAAATTATACAGATAGTATAATTTTATTTTTTAATAAGTAAAACTACAAAGCGTGCTTGTAATAGGCTGTTGTACAATGTATTCTGATCCCTGACGCATCTCAGAAGGACTTTTACATTGTGCAGACTTGGTCATGGTTTATGAATTGTACAATACTCTATTTCCACTATGCTGTGAACCTTATTGTCCCTTAAGAAAGAACACTGCATTAGTTAAAAGGCTTCCCTAAAATTCAGGTTACATCAGAAAGTTTTTTTTTAATTGAAGAATGTATGTATCTGTAAATATGTAGTAAATTGGAATTGCTGAGCTGCTGGCCTAGTTCCTGTCATTTTTTTATACTGAATTTAGATTGTGTCAACTAAAGAAGAACTTAGTGCCATTATTAGCACCAGTGAGCATGCCTCTATGACTTTTTAGCATTCTATGTATCACTACTACTACGCTGTAGTATAATGTAACAAGTCTTAAATGTGTTCAGCAAACAAGAAAATACATCTGAAAGCTAAGCTTGCTTCGCTTTGTTCCATGCTGACTGACTGGGCAGTAGAGAGTTCCGTGTACATACTTGCATTCCATATAATAGTACTTTTATATATAAACATAGGCTGATGTGACACAAAATTTTGCCAATAACCAAACTAGGGTTACTTTATGCTACATTATGTAACTTGTTGAAGAATTTGAATTGCCAATTACCTGTATTTTGCCAAATCAGCTCTGTTCATATGTAGGGAGGCAGGCACCTGGGGTTTTCTATTTCTTGTATTCCACTGTTACTTTGGCAAGGTTTGAAATATTGATTGGTCTGTTTCTGCTGTCCGTTCTTAATTTGGCATTTTAATGCAGGTTAGCGCCCAGTATATTTTTTTTACATTTTTTCAAAATAATTGCAGAATTTTAAAAAAATTATTAGGGATTACTGGGGAGCTGGAAAGCAAAAACCTGTTTCAAATTTGGGTCTGGGTGTCTGTTGCGTACAAGTATGTCCCACATGTATGGTACTTGGATGGATTGTGCTGCAAACTGATCGACTCTGCAAATCGGGTTGTTCCACCTTGTCAGATATTCTGCTGAAGCATCAACTGTTTAGAAGAACCTGGTATTTATTTTGCTCCCAGCAGCCCAAATGTGTTGACTGGTTTGGTACAGCTAAATGGACGCACTGAGGGCAAGTTATTTTGTAAGGTGTATACTTGCACTGTCCTCCAAGGGGCAGTAGTGGTGTAGTTGTAACATCTGTTCTGTTGTGGTTATCTGCATTGTCAAAGGAGCTACTGCAAAGAATTTTTTTGGGGGAAGGGGGGTGCCTGAGGGAGTAAGAGGAGGAGGACGGGACATTTATGCTTTTAATTTGTGTCGCAGCAGAACTACACAGTACTGTAGATCCGCGGCTCAATGCTTTATAAAAAAAGTTTCTTCACCTGTGACTTCTCCTCATTTAGCGAACTAGCTGCTAGGTAATGTTTTCATTTACCTCTTACTCGCTATAATTTATTTATCATGTTTTCCATTTTTCGTCCACGCACAGTTTCCCCCCTCTTGATAGCTTCTCCCAGACGGTTTACCAATGCATTTTTGAATAGACCTGTAAGTGGCAGGGTGAGTCTCTGTCAACTTTCACCCTTCCTGCATTTTAAGTACCTGATCTCCACTGGAGACTGATAGCACCCTGGAGCAGAAATCCATTATGTGTCAATATTTGACTTAAAGTTAAAAGGATTTATAGGCACTGATGATGAAAGGGAAGGCTGTGATCTCCCCAGCAATCAGTGTAGGATACACTACCTTATATCAGCATCGTTTGTGCGTAATTGCTGCATTTCGCCCACAAAATATACAGTTAATTCACTTTACAGTATATCCTGTGAAGCGCTTTGATACGTCTCGAAGACGTGATAAAGCGCTATATCAAATGCAAGTATTATTATTGAACCTGCACAGTTACTACTCAGCTTAATGTCATTCCCAGCATGATTTAATATTGTTCTGCTTTTTATACGAAAGCAATCGCAGTGAAGTCACTTCATCAGAATTGCTAACATTTATATTCTCTTCTGCACTAACCCAGCAGAAGATATGGGATCCAGCTCAATTAGCAGGAAAGCAGTATAGGATAACCATAGTGGCACTCATGAAATGCTCAGTGCAATTTCTTGACACCTTACGAATGTTGTATGACTCTTTAACCAGTCTTATTAAATTCTTCCAATTTAAAATTTGTGCATCTAATTTTATGCAACCCAAGTGTGCGGTGTGGATCGAATGAACGCTAGCAATGGTGGGTGTACTTCAGGCCTATATATTCCAAAATATAGGAATTGTTTTTTGCTGCTCTTTTAATTGGAGTTAAATATTACCCACTACAATTACCAGCTGATTTATGCCACAAACATTTCTGGTAGTCCTCAACACTTTTAATGTGTAAATAGGAGAGCAAGTAGGTCCTGGTGTGATGCAGAATTGATTCAATTTATGGACCTGACTGGAGCTAAACCACCAATGACTTTGGTCCATTCGGTGGAGCCCACACACCTTGTAAAACTGGTACCAAAGGAATCGTGCTGTCCTCGTTATCACAGTAACCTATTTTCAATGGTTCAAACACTGCTGTTCACAAAGTGAACCCCCCTGCAGTCTTGTCTAATTCTGAACAACTAAACACTTTTACAGAAGAGTTCTTCCTCAGCACAAGCTGATGCGATTTACAAATAAACATATTTTCCTTCCCTCGATTATCCCCCAACCAAGTGAGAGACCTGGCCTCGGGGATTTGCCAACCATGAACCTCAGACAGCGAGGTCACAGACAAATGGCCTTCAGTTTGTCTTCCCTGTGGACAAGGGCCTCTATTCAATGTCACCTGAGAAATCCTGGTTGGGAACTTGCCACATTTCTGGTTGCATTAGTTCCCCCAGAAGTGTTCTGTTTTCTACCTCTGCTCTCTCTATTTTGTTCTTCGTTCACAGAAGCAAAATTCCAATTGATCATATGTTTAAAAATGCACAGTCACTACACTTTACAGAAAACTCTAAAACTAAACCCAAGTATTGGCATTAAATCACTTTATTTTTGCCCCTTTTTTTTCTTCTAATTGGCTGAGCCTCCTGTTTTACGCAAATACTAAGTTTGGGAGTGAGCAAGCAAAATGCCCTCTTTAAATCTTACAGGTACATGAAGAACAGCTCCATGTGTGGAAGTAAGTGTTCCATTCTAAAGCAGAATATCCTGCAAAACTGCTCTGCTTAAAAAANTACCATTTGGCAACACAAGTTGGGTGCAAGATACTGCTGGTGCTTAAGCTTTTGAAGAGATCAATAGTGTAAAACAAGCAACTGAACAATGGTATCGAAGTATAACTTGAGATACTGGAATCAAAAGTATTACTCTTTGCAGTGGACTTTACTGAGGATTTTTAAAAAAAAAAAGTATTGTATATTTCCCATTTAAGAATGTTAATGCTGGGGTGGCAGGCTAGTGGTTGGCAATCGCTTCGGAGCTCTTACCAAGATTCAGTTTCGAATCCCAGATCCATCACATCTATTAGTAAAGAGTGATGAGCTGTGTTAATTCTCGCCTCAGCTGCCAGGTGAGAGCTTTTGATGGTCTTGCTTCGCTGGTAAAAAAAAAGTATTTTGACTAGGTTGTGAAACGATCCCCAGGTGGTTTGCGCTGCAGTCTCTGCTAAGGACAGTGTGAAGGTGAGCTGTCGCGAATGAGGAATTGGGCTTAGGGAGAGGCAGGCGCAAGGTATCGAGGTGTGACTATAACCCAGCGGCAAACAGCACCGATCTAACATTTGATATTTCAAACACTGCCCGACCAGGGGCATTGCACAACCTTCCTACCCGCTCCCCGAAAAACTATTCCTTAAACTTTGGAATAGCTCTGATCTGGATTCCAGTGATTGGGCAAAAAGATTGACTCGTACTGCTGCCCAGCAGTCAGAATAGGAGGAAAAGAGGCTCACCAAGGTCAGTTTAGTACAAGGATTCTTGGAATATTCACCAGTAGGCTATTATTGGTATAGTAGTAATCTGTTAACGTGTAGTACTGAGCTTCTCCCACCGACAAGGTAGGGAATGACTACATGCTGTTTGGTAAGCTAATCTAATGCCCTTACGTATTATACAACATCCATCTCCTGCTATAGTTGCTGGCTCTAAAGAAGAAGAAAAAAATCACAGCTCTTACTAGGGGTTCTGACTGAATTAATGCAGTTCCAGTTTTTAACAAAATATAACGATATAACGTAGGGTGCATATAAATGAAAGATGGCCTCTAATGACTTGACATCCTGTAAATGCATAATTTTTATTAACAATTTCTTTGCGTTTAAGATATTTATAAGGTGTAAAGGTTTAAAGAATACCACTAAACCAACAAAATACTTGAAAAAGGTATTTGTACTAAAATGCAGATGTTCGTTACTGACGATGCTACTATCGAGAGCCCCCTTTTTTTTTTGTTTTTCGTATGCAACAACAAAAAAAAATTGTTTAGTTTAACGTGCATTAGTAATGTTGGGCGGGTTTGTGTGACAAATGTTAATATTGTACATTTTAAATAGCTTGCAGGAATTGTGGCAAAAAATAAACTTGAGATTTCTAACAAACATGAAAAAAAAATGTTTAACAGTAGTCCCATGAAGTAATGACAATACATCATGAATGTATAACCTAATTTAACACAGAGCAGCTGTCTGGTTTAACCACTTCAGGCAGCATTATTTCAGCTTCAATTTGTATCTTTACAGTTCTGTTTTCTCTGTTTTTCTCTGTCTCTCTCTTCTCTCTCCGGCATGATTCTGATTTTATTTGCACATGTATGGTAGAGAAATAAAATTTTAACAAAAAACACTTTTAATCACTTTTTTTTTTAGCAATATTGTTTCGGTGCATTCATAGCCAGTTACCAATAAGTTTCCTCACTTACTGGTATTTCTTTTTTTTAAAAATTGTACAGTAAAAATGTCAGTATTCTGGTATCTTCTGGTTCGATCTACATTAGCTCATATAACCTGTATTAATTGTATAGATTGTGAAGTTAAGCTGTGACCAAGTGTCAGAGAAAGAGAATAGGGTCATATGTAATATTTTGTTTGTAATTTTCCTTTGTGTCATTACAAAGGAGATGTTAAATCAACTGTAATAAAGCAATTTTAGTACAGCTTGTGTATTTTTGCTTATTTAACAGCCAGGTCAACTGCTGGGATATTGTATTGCGTGGAGTTTTAATGAGGTAGAAATTTCGCTTGCCGTTGCTGTATTAGATGGTCAGATGGAATTTACAGCCACGTGATCCATGGTAGGTTTTGAATCTTTTTAATGATCTGATTCAGCACTGTTGAACAAAGTTTTATTTAAATATTAGCAAACAATCTAATTTTAGGCATCTGATCACTTGATAATCTAAATCTCTTCAAATGTTCCTTCGCCCCCCCACCCCCCACCGGTTGTCCAGCGCCCTGGCACATGGGAAGGGCGCTGTACGGGTATAATTTGTTGTAAATCGCACCCAATAAAGGTCTCGAGTTGGAGGCTATTCCTTGGATGGATTCACGCAGACCATGTCATTTCAAACTCTGGCTTCAGGAATTGTATTTCCCCCAAAGGGAAAATCTAATCGACCAACAGCCTTTGCCAAAGGATAGTCTGACATCCAGAAAACTAAAGCAATGTGATATTTCTCTTTTTTTTAAACAAAACGCATGGAGCACATTTAGTTGTAGTGGAGCAATCATTATAATGTTGAGCAACTTTAATGTGATAGCATTAAAATTAAACCTTAAGCAGCGTCTTCAATATTTGACACAAGTTAAATACTTAATAAGGTGACAGGGTTTTGGAGGATATTAACCCAGAGGAGCTTCTCAGTCGGGAGGGGAGGTGTTAAGTTACAGGATTAATATTGGTATAGACAGAACCACGTCACAAGAAGCACACTGGAAGTTCTGCAGCTTTTCCACATATGATTGAATTATACACCAATAAGCGACCTGAGAACTATTTTGTTCTTGGAATTCAGATGTATCTAGTGATTTACAGTAGAAAATATTGTTTCAAGGTTGATGCAGTATTAAAGGTAAGTGTGAATTTTAATTAAATGCAATATAAACAAAATTGGCTGCTGCTTTTCACCCAAAAAACAATCGATCCACTTGACAGTGTATCCTGTGAAGCGCTTTTGACGTCTAAACGATGTGATAAGGCAGTCAAATTGCTCTTGCAAAGAAGGTAACATTTTATTCATTTTGAATTCCACTGCTTCCAGATTTCATTCAGACTTCAGACTGTCCTTTGAACTCACGTTAACGATTAACTGATGCTTAATAATGGCAAAAGGTCACTGGGAAAGCAAGGATGAAAGTTTTTACAAATATTTTGCAAAAAATTAGATGGCCGCTGGTGTGTTTTGAAAATATTCTCGGGTTTCTTTTAGAAAAAAAAGGTCCTTTTATCTGGTGTAGGACCTCTGCCAGTTAAAAATCTCATGGATATTGTGAGAGCAGAGAACCTCTCTCTTGTGGATTGTGATTCCCCGGTGTTTATACGCAGGCGGTACAGAACCTTTCCTTCTATAAACGCTCTTGGTCCTTTCCTCTGCCCTGAAAAATTCGCTGACCGACTTGAAGTACTCCAGCAGAGCTTCGTGACTCCAGCAGGAAGAACTGCTGGTTAAGAAGCCACAGTGGCCCCCACGTTCAGTTAACAAGAGGAAGAAGTACGGGTTGGTTTCAAACAGTTCGAAGGGGAGCGTCTGCTCCGGCTTTCCTCGACACGAGTCGTCTTTGCTGCAAATGCAGAGCAGAGGCACTGCCACTTCATCCACATCCCTTAGGGGGTCGTTCTTCTCCCAGTACGATTCCCAACTTGAGGAGCTGGTCTTAGATTGGCAAAATATCACCTCCTCCATCTCCCGGAGGGAGCTACTCCTGAACAGCTTCTCTGTGTCCATCACTTCGCTCAGCACGGTGGCATACCTAGAAACGCAAAAGAAAAGTATCGTTACAGTCCCTATACGTTTCGCCCACAAAATATACAGTCAATTCACTTTGCAGTATATTCTGCGAAGCGTTTGCGACGTCTCGAAGACGTGATAAGGCGCTGTATCAAATGCAAGGATTCTTATAAAATATCTCTACAGTGCTTTACGATCGATACACGGTGTCGAGTGTAGTGACTTTTTTTGAAGGCAAAGGGGGCGGTCAACTTGTCTCCAGCACGGTCTTGAGCGGTGACCAATTAATCTAATAACATTTTATTAAATAATACAAACCTGGAAACACGTTGACTAATTGAAGACGGATTTGCTTAAGTCTCGTGTAAATATTTTTGGGGGGGGTGGCGGTTGTGTGTGGGGGAATTCTTGGTGGCCATGCGCAAACAGGGTGATAAAACGCTATATCAAATGCAAAGCTTTTTATTTATTATAAATGCACAACAACAACAACAACTTGCACTAATATAGCGGCCTTTTCACACCGGCCGGCAAGTGATGTCAACACATTGCAAACACATTGCTAGGACTTGGAGAGAGGGAGTGAGAGAGAGAAATGGAATGAGAGAGAGAGATGGAGGGAGTGGAGAGAGAGAGAGAGAGAGAGATGGAGGGAGTGAGAGAGAGATGGAGGGAGTGAGAGAGAGAGATAGAGGGAGTGTATGTGTGAGAGAGAGATGGAGGGAGTGTATGAGAGAGAGAGATGGAGGGAGTGTGTGTGTGAGAGAGAGATGGAGGGAGTGTGTGAGAGAGAGATGGAGGGAGTGTGTGTGAGAGAGAGAGGTTTTATTTACCTGCTCAGGTTGGTTTTCTGATATAAGACCATCAGCCAGTGGTAGAGTTGGGGGGGTCCTGTCTCGTACCAGTCCCTGCAGCTGAAGACGGGGGAGATACAGGCGGCGGCTATCATGTTGCTGGAGGAGCCGCACTCGCCCAGGTAGGAGAGCAGGAGCCCGGAACCGGTGCCCTCACTGACGGCGTAGAGCTTGGCTGCCGGGTGGCGGTGCCTGATGTAGCCCACGGCTTCCCGCAGGTCCGAGGGCTCCCCGAAGGGCTGCAGTTTGCGGGTGGTCAGCGGGCAGGAGTTGTGGCAGCGCCTGTTGAACAGCACTGGGCTGTAGCCGCGGCGCAAGGCGAGAGCGCACAGGGCGCACAGGTTCCTGGTCAACCTGCCCAGCGCGTTGGGGACGATGAGCAAGATGGAGCCGCTGGGAAGAGGAGGAGGAGGTGTTGTGGGTCCTCTCCTGCGGCTCCTGGCTGCTGCTGCCGCCCCTCCTGCCCCGGCCCCCAGCACAGCCCAGTCCAGAGCCACCAGCCCCTGGTCAGACATCTGGAGATGTTCCCGTGCAAACTCCAGGCTTCCTCCGGCCACTGGACACACGCCGTTCCACAGGGTCTGCAAGTCCGGCCAAAGCCGCGTCCAGCGCCCGGACCCGCCGCCGCCGGAGAAGGTCCGACATGACCTGAGAAGGTGGTCAGCCAGGGCTGAGGGTTTGCAGATCAGCTCGGGCGCCTCTCTGCCCTCCCCTGGCTTCACACTCGCTCCAAGGGTCAGAGGTGCCAGTTTCATCAGCAACAACAACAGCAGCAGCAGCAACAACAACAACAGGTAAACAGCCAGACTCCATATCGACATCCCCCCTCCACCCCCCACTCACCAAATTGAGGGGTAGGTTAGGGTAGGGGAAGGGGAAAACACGCACTGGATTCTACTCTCTGGAGCAATCGAAAGCGACAACAACAACAAAATGTCCTAAATAAATATTTTTTCTGTCCCAACTGAGTTCCACAGCACCGGAGTTCAATAACGCCACTTATTACTGCCAAGCAGAGCAATAACTTTTTTTTTAGGGGAAGGAAAGGGGGGTGGCCCACCGATTTCTCATTGGTTATATCACGACTGTCACCCCGAGGACATTGCATCTGACGCGGGTATGGTTTGGAAGCAGGATAAGAGAGCCAGATAGACAGATAGACAGACAAAGACCGACAGATAGATAGATGTGTGTGCAGAAAGCTGATGAAAACAAGACAAAATCAATCCAGCATTTGAAACGCAAACATCTCTCCTTTGCATTGCAACCGTAGCTGTTCCAGTTCTGTGACCCTTGCACACAAAGACCCAACAAGGGCAAAATCTCCAGTGAGGACATTCCAAGTGTTGCAATCTGTTTTTTCTCTCTCTCTCTCTCTCTCTCTCTCTGTTTTCGATTCCCCCAAACGTCCCCCATGTGAAGGACGCTATATAAATTCAAGCGGTTGTGGTGGTGGTTGACGATTGGTGTTTTGGGAAGGTGAGAAAGGATTTTATAGGATTCACTATTAAAGTTTCGCTTAATTAATCTCGCGTTTTGGTTTCACTTCGGAAGAAGTCTTGAAGCGCTTCACAGGATTTCACAACAATCGCAAACTATTTATCACTCATCGTTAATTGCACACAAAACTCGAGACGTGGATCATTGACTTCAAGAGGAGCACTTCACAAGCCTTACAGTCGTGCCTTTCACTCTCTGCGCCATCTAACATTCTGTTTGAGCTGTCACACATCCACCCACCCTGACTCGCCTCCGGAGTATTTGTTGCTGGGAGCTACTTCTGCCATTGAAACAGAGGAAAAGTCCACAACTTGTTCGCCTGTTCTCCGTGTGAGGCAGGTGGCATGGAAACGAGAATCCCTGGCACACTCTGGGGTCCCCCAAGCCTAATACTTTCTGGAATTGGGTCAGGATTCGTCCTTGCAGGGAGAGAGAGAGAGCGCATTTCATTCCAACAATCTATCTCTGGAATTTCCATGTGTAGGTGGGATGCATGGACTTCTCAGCTTCGTTTGGATCCTCTTAAGCACGGTGTTGGATTGCCGTCTGTGTCCAGTCACCCTAAAAAATAATCTCTGGGGAGCAATAGAGGCAAAGATCCTGATATAAGGGCTGCCGGATAAATAAAACCAATCTTCATGCAGAAAGGCATATTTATATTCATTAGCGAAGACTGGCTATTGATCGCACAAGATTAATGTGCATAATAAGAATAATTTGTTTGCTTAGAACAAAGAATGTAGGTTATCAATTATTAATTTATCAACTCAAAGCCCGTCTTGATGAATGGTGAAGCATTCAGGTCTCTAAATGTCACAGTAATAAGCAGCGGTATTATAGAATCCTACAGCATAGAAGGAGGCTTCCTCCCTGGCATGTTGAAAAAAAATACAATAAAATAAATTTAATGGAATAATAAGAACATACCCAAGGCGGTGTGGATACGGGATCGATTCAAGTTTTCAAGACCGAGATGGATAGAGATTTTTGTTAGGTCAGGGAATCAAGGGATATGGGGCAAAGGCGGGTATTTGGAGTTGAGGTACAGATATAGATCAACCACGATCTAATAGAATGGTGGAACAGGCTCGAGGGGCTGAATGGCCTACGCCTGTTCTTATGTTGACACTGTACGGTGCCTGGCGCCTCAGCAACAGGCTCAGAGTGTGCTGTTTGCTAACGCTGGCGCTGAAAAATTGCACTGTAAACATCGAACAAAACCTTCGCTTGTGTTTCACGTGCTGCACATATCAGAGCCCAGTGCGTCACAGCGAGCAGAGCATTGTGCGTTCATCAGATCAGGGATTCTAGGCCATTCGGTGAATGAACTGTGGATTGGTTCATTGCAATTTACAATACGATATAACTTACGTTTACAAGACACCCTTCAAAGCACATTACACTGCTGGCTGGCACGGGGCGGGGTGGGGGGGGTTGGGGGGTGAGGGGGGAAAGATGACCGAAAACGTGGTCAAAAAGGTAAATCTTGAATTCTCATACTTGGGTGAGGTATAGGCTTTGTTTGGTGTCAACGTGCGCTCAGAGAAAATATTTTATTAGACCTAAAACGTGCATCGAAAACTGCAACCAAAATGTCACAGCTCAGTGATAATAATCCTTGCATCTATTTGCGGTACCATTTATAATTTCGAAACATCGCAAAGCGCTTCACAGATAATTGCTGTCAAGACTTTGTGACCATTTACCTGAACGATCGTGTTCATCCAGATAATTAATTGCTTTTATCCATATTTATGTAAAGCACAAAAAATACCACTTCGCTGTCTCATAGATTTGCAACGATTTCTCGCTGGGCAGAGTTGTTGTGCAAACACGTCAAAGGTTCAATGTTATTTTGAAAGCTGGTGAACAAATCACTGTGACCTTGAAACTTCCTCCGAACGCAGAAAAAAAAATGCTCTGAATTTCACAACATGGGACCAAATTCTTATCCAGAGATAAGGGATGGCACATAGTTTCTGATCTGCCTCTTGAAAGGGCTTCACTAACGTTAAGCGCTTTGAGACGTCTCAATGACGTGATAAGGCGCTATATCAAATGCAAGTATTATTATTAAGAGCTGCCCCACTGGATGGAAACTGATGGCTTTTAAACAGCAGGTTATCCAGCAAAGTGGGTTTACTTCCAGTTTCGCAACTGGTATTTTCAGACGGTTTGAAATATGGGTCCCAGGTCACAGCTTTGTCCTTGTGGGGGGTGGGAGCCCTTTTCTCCCTGCCTTGGGGTCAAACTGTGCCACTGTTAAGGCACTGAGATGCTATCCTGAGTGAAAGGCGCTGTATAAATGCAGTTGTTGTTGTGTTATTTTGTACAAATGATCATTTTTCATATAATAATCCTTGCATTTGTCAGGTCAGGGTATTAAGGGGTATGGGCCAAGGGCGGGTAATTGCACTTGTGGTACAGATCAGCCACAATCTTATAGAACGGCAGAACAGGCTCGAGGGGCTGAATGGCCTCCTCCTGTTTCTGTGTTTTTATTATTTGATATAGCGCCTTATCACAGGATATTTCTCAGGATATACCGTAAAGTGGATTGACTGTGTATTTTGAAACACGGCAGCCAGTTGCGCACAGCAATGTCCCACAAACAGCCAGGGAAGGAGTGAACAATTTTATTTTATATGAGAGAGAGAGAGAGAGAGAGAGCATGTTTATTGAATATAAATGTTTTTGAAAACTATCCATTTGGAAGGACCTCACTGTAGATAACTTTAAACCCCAAGAGATATCGCTCACTCTCCTCCCGCTATGAGTTTGTGATGTTTCTTTGTGACAAAGAGGCGGCAGAAAAGATATTTAATGACAGCACTGATCAAAGGGCTGCACCAATTTTGCTACTCAAGAATAAAATGATTGCTCCTATTAAATCTTTGTGAAGTTTGTTGCAGCAACGAAGGGTTGCATAATTTATGGGTGAAACTGATGAGAGAGCTTCAAACTTCCACAGAACAAATTGCAGATGAGTCGGACGGGATTCATTAATTAACTTTGCTGCAAAGCTCTCAAACCAACACTGAGTGTCCTGCATAATGTGCGCAGCTAAACAGAGAGCTGCCTGGGGATGTGATTCATGGGTTGGATAGTGGCCAATCTGCAGTTTCCGTGTGTCAGATGTCATAAATCCTCTTTGATCGGAAAAAAAAACCTGCTGCGTTTCGCCCACTTAAAAAAAAATACACCCATTACTGTACAGTATATTCTGTGAAGCATTTTGAGAGGTCTCAACAACGTGATAAGGCGCTAGATAAAATGCAAGGATTATTATTTATTATAATAGACCACTCTGTGTCAGGAGTTGGAAGAGCTTCCGAAATCCAATTAAGGCTGAAGTTCTCCTCTACTCATTGTGGATATTCATCCGAAATCAGCAAAGAGCGGAAGAATCTTTTCTGAGACAATCTTGTCATTTTAACAACACAAAATGTGGAGTCCTGCAGCATAGTGGTTAGAGCACTCGCCTCGCAAGAGCTCGATATCCAGGCAGGGTGACACGTTAGGCACGTTTACAATATATCCTGTGAATCGTTTTGAGACGTCTCGGAGATACGATAAGGCTCTATATCAAATGCAAGGATTATAATTATTATTATTAAAATAATACAGTAATATACAGACATCGACTCCCCCACGGTTCCCAACCAAAGAAACCATCAGGCGTTATGACGTATTTGCAATGCAACCCAGACCGAGCTCAAGTCCTGACATGGCGCCCAACCCACTAATGTCGCAGACGTTATCCTGCGTGAAGGGCGCTGTATAAATAAATACACGTTATCGTTGTCCATGGAAGCTTTTGGTTCAATATGATATGAGTTTGTGCCCGAGTCCTAATGTTGTCTCCCAATTCGTGCGGAATCACGTGCCTTTTTGTGCTGTGCGTGTGGGGGGGGTCTGTGGACATTAGAATCAAGACTGACGTAATCCAACCCCGAAGACTCTCGGTGTAAACAGAGAAGTGAAAATAGACGCTTCCTTTCTAATGACTTTGGGAGTCCTGGCGGGGTGTTGGGGGTTAGACACTCGCCTCGCAAGCGAGAGGATCGGTGCTCGATTCCCCGGCAAAAACCTTCGGAGAGTTTCTTTCCACCACTCGCCAGTGTGTACCCGCAGCAGCGAGTAGGAAGCTGGTTCTTCGCCGATTGGCGTGAACCCTTTTCCTGGTTAATATCATCGTGGCCAAGAATACCCCCCGAATAAAATATTGAGGCCACCCACTCAGGTCATGGCTGTTTGTGGGACACCGTTGCGCCCGCGGTCACGGGAAAATGCTGAGAAGCGCTTTGAGATGTCTCGTCGACCCGAAAAGCTGCTGAAATAAATCAGTGCCGTTGGGGAAGAGTACATTTATTTCCGCCCCAAAGTTTAAGGAGATCCTGTTTTTATCCTAACTTTCTGCTCAGTGATAGCTCTGTTTTGATCCACCTCTCCCCCCCCCCCACTCTCCCCCCCCCACCCCACCTCTCCCCACCCCACCTCTCCCCCCACCTCTCCCCCCCCCACCCACCCCCACCTCCCCCCCCCCCCCCCACCTCTCACCCCCCACCCCACCTCTCACCCCCCCCCACCTCCCCCCCCACCCACCTCCCCCCCACCTCCCCACCGCACCTCTCCCCCCTCCCCCCCCACCTCTCACCCCCCACCCCACCTCTCCCCCCCACCCACCTCTCCCCCCCCACCCCACCCCCCTGCCACCCACCTCTCCCCCCTCCCTCCCCCACCTCTCACCCCCCACCCCACCTCTCCCCCCCCACCTCTCTACCCCACCCCCACCCCACCCCCACCTCTCCCCCTCCCCACCCCACCTCCCCCACCTCTCACACCCCACCTCTCCCCCCCCCCACCTCTCCCCCACCCACCTCCCCACCCACCTCTCACACCCCACCCCACCCCCACCCCCTCCCCACCCCACCTCTCCTCCCCAACTCCCCCCCCCACCTCTCCCCCTACCCCCACCCCACCCTCTCCTTCCCCGCCCCCACTGCTGTATTGTTACATTGTATCCCCTGAAGGTTCCAATGTGTATCCATTGCGGCGGCGACTCGTTACATTGTGACCACGTGACCGCGACACAGTGGGAGGAGAGGAGAGGGGGAGAGGGGGTGTGGGGGGGAGGAGAGGGGGGAGGGCGATGATGGGGGGGCGGGGGGGGGGTGATGGTGGGGGTCGGGGGCTGTGGGCAGTGCCGCTGCGGTGCCGGTGATCGCTGCTCTCGGGGCTGTCGGTGCTCCACAGAGAGACACAGAGACACACACACACACTGTGCGGAGGGCGGACATGGCCCGGACACAGCCGGAGCTCAGGGTCGCTCTCACTCTCTGGTTACTGCTGTGTTGGGCGCAGACGGAGGCGAAGACCTGTGAGAACTGTGAGGTGAGTGAGAGAGTGAGTGAGTGTGAGAGTGAGTGAGTGAGTTGGAAAAAGTGAGAGAGAGAGAGAGTGAGTGAGTGAGTGAGAGAGTGAAAGAGAGTGAGTGAGTGAGAGAGAGTGAGTGAGTGAGAATGAGTGAGTGAGTGAGTGAGTAGTGAGTGAGTGAGTGAGTGAGAGTGAGTGAGTTGGAAAGAGTGAGAGAGAGAGAGAGAGAGAGACGCTGTACTGTTTACACCAAAAAAAATGGGCACAAATGGTAGTGGATTGAGTGACCACATTTTTGTGTGTGTGTTTGTCTATTTACCTCTCTATCTGACTCTCTCTACACCCCCCCCCCACCCCCCAAAACCCCCTCACCCCACCCCCCTCACCCCCCCCCTCACCCCCACACCCTCACCCCCCCCCCCACCCCCCACCCTCACCCCCCAAACCCCCTCACCCCCCACCCCCCAAACCCCTCACCCTCACCCCCCACCCTCACCCCCCACCCTCACCCCCACCCCCCAACACCCCTCACCCTCCACCCCCCCCCCACCCCACCCCCCAAACCCCCCACCCCCACCCCCACCCCCCAAACCCCCCCCCACCCCCACCCCCAAACCCCCTCACCCCCCCCCCTCACCCCCACCCCCCAAACCCCCTCCCCCCACCCTCACCCCCACCCCCCAAACCCTCCCCCCA